GGCACTGCGGCCGACCAGGGAGCGTGGACTGCCAGGCAGGCTGGACGCTGGGGCCAGTCTGAAATGCCCCCACACTGAAAGACCAGCTCTGCCCGCTCTTGTCCCCACCAGGCCCCAGCCCACCGCTCCACGGCCCCACAGGCCCCTTCCCGCGTGCTCTCCTGCTTCCAGCCTCTGCACTTTATTCTCCGAGACTCAGCCCTGGTGAGGTGGGAGCAGCCCTCCCCACAGCTGTGGCTCCCGGGGTGGAGCAGGTGACCTGCTGAGCCGCTTTCGCCCTTCTTCGCCATCTTGCTCACTGCTCCTCCCAAAGGGGTTCTCCGTGCCCCTCCTGTGGTCAACCCAGGAGGCCTCCGGCCCTGCACCATCCTTCCCTCAGTATCCACCCCACACAGTCCCCACTGCTCCCCACCAGGGTCCCATGTGCTCTCAGCTCCCTGCCCTGTCACTGTCCCCAGGCCTTCGCCCACCTCAGATAGAGGCTCTCGGACAACTGCGTGGGCTGTCTAGGCCCTGGAGGCCCTGGCTGCCAGCCCACCCACCTCACAGTGCTGTCCGTTCCTCCTCAGCACCTGGCACCCTCTTCCTTTCAGGTACCCCTGGGAATACAATATCAGAGACAGCATAGCCCGCTGAGGATGCCCCATACCCTTGACAGGGGCCCACCCACCAGGCACCGGGGCCACAGCGGGCTCAGGATCCCCTGGCCTCTCCTGCCTGTCTCGCTGCTCCACTGCGTGAAGCCGACCTTGGTCTCTGCCTCGGTATCCCCATGTTCTCTCCTGGTTTCCTGCCTTGTGCTGGACAGGCCCTGGCCTCCCCACTGGGACACTGCCCTCTGGGCCTGCGCACCCCTCTAGCTCCTGTCCCTTCTCCTCCTCATCCCGGATCCTCAGAGAGCGGGCGTTGCTCTCGTCCTCACATCCCATTCACTCCCAGCCCAGAACGTTCTGCCCCAACCTCCACAGACTGGCCTTCCAGTGGCCTCCTAACTGCCAAATCAGAGGGACACTTTCCAGCTTTTTCTTGAAAACCTGCTAAACTGTGAGCATCCACAGCTGAACCCACAACCTGCTCCTCCCGGTTCTTTGTGTGGTAGCCCCATCCTCCTCTCCAGACAGTGACCTGAGACCTCACAGGACACGCTGCCTGCCCTCAATTCCATCCCATTCTCAAATATGTCCTGAGGTGGCCCCTCCCACCCCTACTCCCCGTCCTGGTCAGGCTCTGTCATCCTTCTCTGGACTCATCCACCAGACCCAGCACAATCCACCTCACCCTGAATCCAGGAGTGCCACCAAGCTGCCAGGAGACGGCCGTCAAATGCGCAGACCAGCCACCTTGTTCACCTGGTCGGAGCCCCTTGACTCGCTCCTCCACTATCAGGGTCCCGGCCAAGCCCCCCAGAGGCAGCTGAAGGCGGCCCCACACAGGCAGGTGGGTCACACCCCAGGCCTGCTCCCAGGGGAGCACTCTGCTCCCAACACCTGTCCGGGCTCACCCCTCAGGGACTCGGCCAGGAAGCTTCCTCCCTGCGGGGCAGGTGTGTGTGCACGGCGCCATCACAACCCACCTCGGCGTGCCACAGCCGCCTGCCTAGGGCCCTGCCGCCCGCTGTGTGTGTCCACCTTTTATATCCCCGAGTGCGGGCAGAGGGCAGGTACACGAAGGCCGCCAAACATGAGGGTGCTAAACTCTGAGTTTTCAGCTTACATTTTTTGCTTCTAAGATCACCCTAGGTGGTCCTCAGATAAAATATCTGCATAGGAGAAGATGTGGATGCCCTTAAAGAGACATCATTGCCTTAGAAAACAAGGGCCAATGGTTTGGGTCAAATCTCCTCACAATGTGAGCACTGGGCCCCCGGGCATAACCTTTCTGAATAGACACAGGCCTGTGAACGGATGCGGCCAGCACCAGCCGACCGGTCACGCACGCATGGTGGAAATAACGACTATTAGGAACATTTGACCACAACAGTAAAGAAATAAAACTGTTAAAAAAAGAAAAAAATCCCCAAAAATGCCATATGGGAGTAACAAAAATGAAAGGCGCCTCAACTTTCATGTCATCCTTGAAACGATGGGAAAATGAGTGAATCTGTCCAGTTGTTCAATTGAAAGGCAAATCTCAATTCATTAAGACACTGAAGTTGCCACTTTAGAAAGTCCAGTTTCACCGACATCTTGGGTAAACTTCATAATGTGACATTTAAATCCAAATTACGACTCAAAAGCAAAAACAATCCCCGTTTGATTCCCTTGCTGCCGGGGTGGAGGCTCGTGGGCGGATGGCAGGTAAGCGAGGGGTTAAGGAAAGAGCATCATTATCTCCTGGGCCCTAAGCCCTCTCCTCGCTCAGCAACTTCAAAGCCCTCTGGCCGCACTGGTTTGAATTAAGGTTCCCTTTTCTCCTGGAGTCTCCGCCTGCGCCCGGGCCGCAGAGAAAGTGCTGCTGCTTCTGGATTTCATTAGGGGCAATTTTCTTATCTCTTCTTCATCTTAGGCTTGATCTCCTGAAATGCAACGTGGCAGGCAATGGCTCTGAGTAACAAGGTGCTGCCTTTAAGGCACACATTGTCCCATGGGGCCCCCCAAAAGGGGGAGAAGCGCAGAAGAAAGGGGAAAGCAGGGCCTGACCCTTCTTCCCCCATCCGATCGATGACCAGGGAACCATAAATTGTAAACTTCAAAGTGCTCTTTTACATTAAAATCAATAAAAAAACCCTGGAACAATTTTCCTTTTCAAAGAAGCTATTTAAGCTATAAAAAGTTCATTTGATAAGGTATCATCATGTACACACTTGGCAGAAGATTAAAACAGAATGTCAGCAGCAACCAAGAGTGAAAGGTTCATCTTAAAGGTTGCCTGGGGGGCCGAGGGCCGGAGGATGACCTTAGGCCCACCTCGCCCCCCCATCGGCCCACCGGCCAGCCCCGAGGTGCTGAGCATCTCACCCCAGGCTCAGAGCCCTAGGGCCACTGAGACCGGGCATGAAGGCCAGAGCAGTGGAAACCTGGCCGGGAAGAAGGAAGAGTTCTGCAGCAAGAGGGAGCTACCCGTTTTTACCACTTCAAACCCGAGTTTAAAGGAAGCTGCGCCCACACCAGAATTCGGCCACATCGGGCCTTAGGGCCCCAGGGTGGCACCGATGCCCACTCGGGCAGCATGGACGCCTCTCACGGCGGGTGTCCCGGCACTGTATTTCCAAAGAATCCTCATAAGGGGGCCGGTTCCCAGGTGGGCGGACGGCAGAGTGATGCCGGCCTGAGGGCCTCGAGGACGGGCAGCCACAACTCCCAGGTGCTGAGGCGCCAGCTTCAGACTGCACGAAGCTGATCTTCACGGGCTCGTCAGCAAATTCTCAGATGTTGTACGTGTTTGGGGGAGTGCTTCTTCCTTAAATTAGGCAGAGCAACTGCTAAAATTACTTTATACCTCAGCAAGAGTAAGCAGCAGCATCAAAATTAAAGCAATGAGATCAGAGGAAAAAGCGATTCAGGACGGGCCTTCTAGGAGGGGAGGACTCCGCAGGGACCGCGGTCACCTCTGAGCAGCTGACGTTCTGTCTCCATTGAATCAAATGTGAGCCGTTTATTTCTCGGAACCACTGAGTGGCTGTGGCTGGGGACTTACATCGACAGAGCCACCCAGGGGCCGGGCCTTTTTATCACCAGACCCCGACAACCATTCTGAGGTTGGGGACTAGGACCCCATTTCGAGGTGAGCGGGCAGAGGCGGCGAGGGGTCATGTAAGGGTCTCCACGGAGCACGTTGTGGACGCTCAGCTAAACTCTTACAGATGTGTCGTTTTATGGAATCTCACCCGCCACAGAGACAGGCACACACACAGGCACACGTGCACGCACATGGGCATCTACATACACACACACATACCCCTGCATACATGCACACACATACAAACTCACATCTACAGACAAGCCTACACCACAGAGCCCTGTGCACATGCAGTCGCAGAGACACACATACACATGTGCACACACATGTGCAGGGACACATGCGTCACACAGACGCACGCCTGCACGCGTGTGCTTTCCATTTCGATAAAGCAGGACAAGAGCACGGAATTAGAGAGACGCAAAGAGACAAAGTCACCAGAGCCTTTACGGGACTCTAATCCCTGCTGCATTGATTGCTTTCTAATGGAGACCAAAAGTCTGTTAGGCTTTGCCGCCAAACAAAACTCTCCCCACGAGGGCCCCTGGGACCCGCACTGGGGCAGGAGGACCACTTCCTGGAGCACTCATTCCATGGGGCAGGTGGGAGCCACCATTTAAGACAGGCAGAAACTGCGCTCTGCTGAGCATCCATTGTCAGTGGCAGGAATTACTTCAATCTGGCCCAGATCAAAGTAGAAGTAACCATTTGATGACAAAAGCAAACACGGCATTTAAAGAAAATCGCCCTGAGGCTCTATTGTCAGGGACCAGAGTAATGCAAAGGAAGCAGCACGAATGGGGAGAGTCGCCTCGATTTTTATTTCATAGAGGAGGAACATTTACTTCTGTTTCCCATCATCTCACAAAAGATTTGTTGGAAGAAAAATCAGGGGATTCTGAAAGTGGCCACCTTTCACTAATGTAACACTTTCTGACACCCGGCACTAAACCCCTTGCCTTGGTCTCCATCACTTTCTCACCATCAAGACCCAAAATGGAGTCCTGTTTTTCATTTAATGCACAAAAGCAAACATGGCAGACAAAAGGGAAGAAAGTCTCGAAGATTCCACCGTTGGCTTGAAGCACAAACTGAGAGGAGCCCCCTGGAGTCCCATCCCTCGAAAGTGCAGTTAAAGAAATGTGGATCTCTGCATGGTGCGGCCTGGAGGCTGCTAGAGGGGCTCCCGAGACAAGTCTAGTGCTCACACGGAGGGTGAGGGTCGAAGGAGAGCAGTGACACGGAGGAAGAGCGGAAACACAGGTGTGGAATTTCCGAGTGTTTCAGAAATGCCCCGAGGGAGAGGAAGCTGGGACACTCACCTGAAGGCCGCCAGGTACTCCGCATCTCCCATGGGGGGGTCGAGGCCGCCGGTGAAAGCCATGTTGACGTTGAAGCCCACGCCCGGCCCTGTGCCCACCTGCGCAGAGGAGAGAAACACGTGTCACAGACCCTCGACCAGGGGCCTCTCCAGTTAGGACTGCTGCAGCCCCACCACAGAGCCTGTGCGTTGTGCTCCTCGGTACGTGTCACTAGAGTGTCACTCGTCCCCGCAGCCTCTGATGTGCTGATCTCGATGATGGAGAATTTTCACAGAATGCGGGGGCTCCTACACCAACAGAGGGCAACCAGAATACATCTGCCAGTGAGGCTGTCCTCCAACTCCCACCTGGATGTAAGACCCAGAGGCAGACGAGCCTTCTTCCTTAGACGGGTCCCCTACTGTTGGGGCCTCTTGGTCAGAGCGAGGGCAGGCTCTACTTGGGGATCAGGGTGTCACGAAGGAGCCTCTGAGCCTGCTGTTCCTGGGGCCCACCGTGTGGCATCGGACAGTGAGAGGACGGGACAAGCGTCCTGCTCAAAGGACAGGACAAGTGACATGGCCTGGGGATGAGTTTCAGCTGCACAAAGCTGCCTCTCCTGGGGGAAGGAGGGCACCCCATGCTTACTCGCTCATAAGTATTCAGCCTGTCCAGATTAGAACCAGAAACCATCCCCAGCCTCTCATTTGTACTTCAGACAAAATAAAGGCCACGTGTGCTCACGCGCCGGCATCCAGGCTGCCATCTGCCTGAGATCACAGTCTGCGGCTCAGCGAGCATGAAGCCCTGGCTGCCGTGTGGCAGGAGTGGCCCACCTGCCCTCCCGCCTCCAGGGCGGCTCTGCCTTGGCCCCCTCGAAGTCCCGCACACTGACCGGGGCCCCTGCTCACCTCGTCAGGCGCCCCGCTGCCCGGGAAGAAGTTCCCGTCGTCGTAGCGGTGTAGGGAGATGTACAGGACATTTGGGTCGTTGTAGAATGCCTGCTGGGTCCCATTTCCGTGGTGCACGTCCTACAAAAGCAGGGAGAGCTGACTCAGTACCAGGCAGGACGCCTCTCAGGCTCACAGAGGAACCGAGCACCTCTGGTCAGGGTGGCTGATGGCTCGGGGGATGTGAGCTAAAGGGTGCGGGGCCAAGGGAACGGAAGGAAGAGGTCCCGGGGTGGTGTCCACGTCTGTGTCACTGTGTCCCTCACCCTCAGCACCAGGGCCCGCTGCAGATTCCTGCAAAGAGGGGCTGGTGTTTCAGTGTGCCCTCCCATGTCCCGCACCCAGGCCACAATTTCCCAGACAAAGCCATTTGGTCCATTTCTTGTCCTGCCACGTCTGTGAAAAGTGAGCCATTCCCTTGGCCCCCATTGTGAGGGATGTCACTGACCCATTCATTTCCGGGCACATGTGAGGAGCCAACACTGTGCCAGATGCTAGGGTACAGCAGGAGACCATCCCACGGGGCTGAGTGACAGGTGCACACGACGGCACAGGGGGTCCCAGGCCCCGAATGAAAACGACCAACTGCTTCCCTAATCACAACGCCCACATGTTAAAAGTGCAACAGTGGGGCAGCGGGGCCTCCACCAGGGTGGCGGCCCGCTTTATGCAACGTGTGCATGTGAGAAGCTGCATGCCCGCCCGTGATTTGAACCCCGGGGACCTGCACAGTCTGCTTTCTTATTCATAAAAGTGATCTGTGCTCATGGTAGGCAATGTGGAAGGACAGCTCCAGTGGGATTGGCAAGAAACATACACATGATGCCCCAGCTAGGACCAGCTGCTGTGCAGACACGTCGAGACTTTTGGGGCGTGTGTTCCCCATAACTGAGGCAACACCGAGGGCACCACTTGTAGACAGCTGACTGTAACAGTGCCCCACGCAGCGCACAGTTCTATGACGTACCGTACAGACCTTGGCTTACGTGCTTTAGATGTGCTGGCCAGCCGGACACAGAGGCTGCCTCACCTCACGCTGCCTGCTATCATTCCTGTTGTCACTAGCTGCACCCACTTCTGGCTCCACCGGCATTTCTCACGGTCCCTCAGGAGGCTGCCCAGTGAGGTTCTGCCCAGGATCGCCCTTTGGCTGCTGCCCCCAACCACGGGCATATTTCTAGACATTTCAGGAACCCGGTTATTGGCAGGATCGGCTGATAGAAGCTATCAAACTGACTCGTAACAGGTTTGGGCTTTTATTTTCTGCATCTTTGCGGTAGTCTGCAGAAACTTAAGATCCCCAAGTCCAAATGTTGGTGGAGGCAGAGGTGCCCGCCTCCTCTCTCCACACCCGCACGTCTGCTCGGGGCAAAATGGCGATGGGCTCGTGGCTTCCCCAGCTCCTCTCGGGAACAGGCCCACTTACCCAGTCCACGATGAGGGTCTTGCTCACGTTCAGCCTTTGCTGGAGAAGCTTGGCTGCGATGGCCACAGAGTTGAAGTAGCAGAACCCCCTGCAGGGAGAATCAGAAGAAAAAAGGCAGCTTTTGATCGGCTTTTACACAACTTGCGACAGAACCATCTAGAGTCCTAGGAGATGCTAAGAGGGTCTGGGGAGTGCACGGCTCCTGATCAAGCAGTTTGGAAACCTTAACTGAAGCTGTGATTGAGAGTCAGACGCGCACACACACGCAAATGTACATGCACGCGCACACAGTCTCCTGCAGGTAGACGTGGGGCTCCCACGGTAAGAACATCCCTTTCACTTTATACTGATGTTCGCCCCGGCTCACCCCCGGAAGCCTCCAGAGAACACTCCCTGGCCTCTCGGGAGACGCTGTGGTCCACAGAGCACCGAGGTTACTAAGACATATGATAGTGACATACACAGTCCATCCAGGGATTAGCGTAACTCTAGAGTCTCATTCCAGAGAGTGAGAGAGTGATTCTAGTAGAGATGCAATCTTCCACATCTCAGTTTCCCTTTGCCTGAATTACTTACAAACTGAGAGCCCTGGGCTGTTTTATGGCTGGAATCCGGCTAGCAACCTGGAAGCCCACACAGCCAGGAGCACAACCTCTCCCGCACAGCAAGCCCGGCCATGCTGGCTCAGAGCTCACCGAAAACACCTGAAACGTCCTTCGTATTCCGTTGGTCCATTTGGGTTTACTATTGAGAGTATCCAACAACTTAGATTCAAATTAGAAAAGTAACTTCAGAGAAATGAAGCAAACATAATCCTGTTCTAAGTAACACGGAGTGTTCTGGAAGGTGGAGTATCCCACACTTTCTCAGGTGAGGCTGCACAGACTCCAGCCCAAGTCCCCTCTTGGAGGGTTAGGATCGCTTCCCTCTATACAGGAGGAGGCTCCTTTCTGAAAGGGATCTCATGCCCTCACTTGCCGATCCGGAATGACAGAGGCTCCCTCAGGCGGGGTGAGCCCAGCCGGTGGTCCCGCCTTGTTCTAGCTGCTGCTGGTCTGGCTCCAGCTGTGCCGCCTGCGCTCCTGGGCTTCTCCCAACAGTGCTCTGTGTGCACTTTCCTTGCTTTGCCACCTGACAAACTGCTCCTCGTTCCTCAAGGCACAGCCTAACGCCACCCGCTCCTCCCTCCAGGCAGCAGCAGTGGCCCTCCTGTCTCCACAGCACGGGGCATGCTCTGCCCACGCCAGCGTGCTCATGGCAGTGCTTCCCAGGTCCCACACCAGAGACGGCGGATGTGATCACCCCCAGGCAGCAAAGGCCCTCAGTGCCCAGCCGCTGAGGCTGAGGGTCAGGCCGTGTCACCCTGCCCCAGGTGCGTCCCACCTGCACTGGTTTTCCCCAATCCACACGCCACACTCACACCCTCGGCTCCTCCAATGTGTGCACAGTCAGGGGCATCCAGAACCCGAAAGAGTCCAGAGAGCTGGCCCGTGTGGTCACGACCTTGGGACTACAATTTAAGTTTCCTGTCCCAACTTTCTATAACAAACGTAACTAGGACTTCTCTAGACCGACTTCTGTGGATTCTTCCTGCCCCACTCCTCCCACTCGCCGCTTCACCATCGCCCACCAGGGAAGCTGCCCTGCGCGGCTCCAGAGCTGCACCTTGGCGACCTCGTGCTGGATCAGGGACACTCGGGAGCTGCTGACGTGCAGGGCACAGTACACATCACAGGAGGGCTTAGCAAATGGCAAACCAAGGTCCCCCCGCTGCCCTCGAGTGCTGGCCCGGCCCCCTAAGGAGAGGAGCCGGAAACCTGCAGTCTGCCCACGGGGGACTGTGCGTCTACTTACATGGGTGTGCTCTCTTCTGCGTGATGTCCCGGGGGGCGGACCACGGCAAAGCCATTCTACACAGAACACCAAACGGGGGGAGAAACAGGGATGAAAGATTGGTTTCATATCAGTGAGAAACTGTTATGGAATGTACTGGAGACACAGTTTCAGGCTGCACTCCGGGCACACAGCCACCGGACAGGATAAAGGGCTGGCTCTAAGCATCAGCGACATCTGGGTCCCTTCTTTTAAAGAGGCCTTTGGTTGTCACAAGTTACTAAGATAAAAGGTGAACTTGTTCCTGACTTTCTGTCTTCAACAGCCTGCTGGTAAGTGGGCACTGCTCAGCTCGGGAGTCTGGGTAGGAGAGAAGGGGGTGCTCTAGGACCCCTCTGATCATGACCAGCATCCCCAGGAAGCAACTGGACGGAGACCCTGGCTGCAGATAGAACGGAAGGGGCTCGTGGCTGCGCAGAGCCCATGCCCAGTGTGGCCTTAACGTGAATGTCTCTGTTGTTACTGCAACTCAGTTGCCAGGGGAGAAGGCAGCGCCGAAAACGAACAGTCCATTAACACCTAGAAGGAATATTTCCGAGGCTGGAAAGGAGTCTGTGCCCGCCGCCCAGCAGGACCTCTAAGTCACTCATACTTTAAAGAACCATCTTCAAGCTGCTCTGTAGCTGCTGTAATAAAAACGGATTAAGTGGGCACCTCTTGGTCTCACCAGCACCAGGAAGCTGTGTGCTCAAGCTCTGTACTAGCGCCCAAGGGCCGGCTGACCACTGGTGAGCGGGCTGTGGGAAGCGGTGCTCAGGGACGGACAGGGCAAGGGAGGCACTCACTTGGGAGCCCCCGCCCCCAGGACACTCAGGACTGGGGAACCGTCTCCTGTCCCTGCACAGACACTGTGCCCTGGTTCTCAGAGTACAGACCGCAGACCAGGGCCCTCGTGCTCCCTAGGGGGCCTGCCTTTTCCACTGTGTAGACAACCGCACCAACAGTGGGAAGCCAATGCTGGGTGGATGGCTGGAGCCACAGCGGGAAGTGAGGAAGCAGCCCGGAAAGCTCGAGGACTCTATCTTTGTCCACCATTGGTCTGCGGGCGGGAAGGCAGGCCCACTTAAGAGTGCTCTGGATGCAGCAGGACAGCTGACCGACTACCCTGCATCTCCACCCTTGAACACACGCCATTCCACCTCCACGTAAAGACATGGGGAGGCCATGGGAAGAGCTCTGCCGCTGCCCATGAGGCCTGTCTCTGGGGAGAACGACTGTCTGAGCTCCGAGCTGTGCCAGCTCCTTTTTCCACGGAAAGCCAATTTCCCTCGAAAGAAGGACTGAAGACAAATGGGTCATTCCAACTTGGGTAAATTGACAATTCTCAAAACTAAACAAAGTGAGCCCGTCACCTCAAGGAGAGCGACAGACAGTCGTAATTGTCAGGGAGGAGAGCTTGGCTTTCAGGTGACAATTCAAAGTTTGGAAAAAGTGGATCTGCCACTGTGAGTGGCACAGCCGTTCCCAGACTCAGAAGACTCTCCTGATGGTCACGGTTGCAAATTAGTGATTTCTTGGATACCGTACAGTAAAATGTGCCAAGATTTGGAAGATCTGCATAATTCAATGAGCCCTTATTTCCAAATGACCAACGCCCTGTGCCATCAAGTCATGCCCGGATTCACTCAGTGTGCAAGAGGCCAGTGGATTTTAACGTGGAGGACGAGGAAAAGCCAACATTGTTTCAGCTTCCACACTGTACGCAATCTTCCAGAAACTACCACTTGTTGAATTTTGGTGTAGCATCAAAGAATATCCACAATTATCTGAGAAAGCTATTAAAATACTTCTCCTTTTCCCAATTCTCTATTTGTGGGAGGCCAGGTTTTCTTCAAGTACTTCACCCAAGACAGCATGTTGCCAGACTGAAGCAGAAGGAGGTACGAGAATCCAGCTGACCGACTATGCCAGACATTATTGTTATTTATTTATTTATTCTTGGAGGCAGATTAGCCCTGAGCTAACATCTGCTGCCAATCCTCCTCTTTTTGCTGAGGAAGACTGGCCCTGGACTAACATCCGTGCCCGTCTTCCTCTACTTTATATGTGGGATGTCTGCCTCAGCATGGCTGGAGAAGCAGTGTGTAGGTCCACACCGGGGATCTGAACTGGCGAACCCCGGGCTGCCGAAGCAGAACATGTGAACCCAACCCCTGCACCACTGGTCCAGCCTGTTGTTATTTTTAAGTTAATAAATACTCTAAAAATTTCTCAGTTTTAATCTCTAATCTGGCCAATGCTGATGACCTAACTTATATAAACAAAAGCACTTTGGGTCCTTCAACAGTTTTTACGAGTACAAAGTGCTCCCAAGACCAAAGTCCCTGACGCCTACTGCACCGTTACGTTTTCAGAAATGTGGGCATGTTCCCTCCGACGCAACAGTGATCAACAGGACGGGATCCACCCTCCCCCGGACGGAGCCGTCCTTCCTATCCGTCACCTCGTGCCTGCCTGAAGGGGGCATCGCAGTGGGCCATCCCCTCCCTCCCCCGCTGGAAATCTCCTGGCAGGTTTCCTTCTAGGAGCCCTTGTCTGCCGGGTCCTCACTGACCTTCAGCTCCCCCGTGGCCACCTTGAAGACCAGCTCCACCACGCAGCCCACGGCCAGGCGGGCTGCCCCTGACGAGTGCACCTCGTTCCATATGGTGTCGCTGTCCACCTGTGGAGACAATACTCGTGCAGTGAGGCCAGTGTCCTGGGCCACAGTCACACCCCACCTCCGGGCGGCCATGCAGCCTCTGCCCACGGGCTCCGCCTCTGCACCGCCAGTAGCAGAGCCTCTCATCTCTTCTCTACTAACTGTGGAACATACCCAGCTCCCAGGCCGGCTGACAGTTTTTGGGAAGACGTGCCAAAAAAACACTAATCAGAAAAAGAACAGTGAATGCACCCAAAATATCATGCATGTTTTTACCCCCTTCTGAGGTGTCATTTCTTTTCTGAATTGCCTCAAAATACTTGAAGCTAAGAGCAATGATGCCAAGGTTACCTAGTTAGTTCCTTTTTTTTTTTTTATTTTACTGCAACTGCAGTTAAGAGTTATACTAATAATCAGTGAAATGAAATGTAAGGAAAATTAGAATGAGGGCTCTCTCGACCAACACTTCCTTTTGTGCTGAATTTAATTAGAGGCTCAAAAGGGGCAGGAAGGGAGGAGACTCAGGACCCCTCGGAAACCTCCTGGTGGGCCGTTCCCCACTCTGCCCAGGTGACTGCACGGCTGCCCCACCAGCTGTTCCCTTCAAACAGAAGAACGTATGCAGTGCAGACACGTCAGGTGATTTCTGTTTGTGTGCTGGTTTATTTATTTATTCGGGCGCATCTGATTTTTTTTTTTTAAAGCCCTGGCTAACATGGGTGAGAAGCACGACCAAGAGACTTCGGCAGCCAGTCCTGCAGAGAGCTAGTCTCCTTGTGGGAGCCTGGGGGTGGGGGTCAGAGGGCCGAGGGGAAGCATGTGGCCCCTGGGGGTCGGGTTAAGGCACCCGAGCCACCATTCCCAGGTGTGGGGTAACTGGTGCCTTGGCCACACACACACTTGGGACTCATGTGCACTTCTTGGGGATGCACCCAGCCTAGTGAAGGCTCTGAGAAATCGTGCACTAACAGGCTAGGTAACCTGTAAGACAGTATCTGCCGAGTCTATCTGAGGACCCCTCCTTCCCCAATTCACCTCCTGCAAGCACTTGTAGCCTCTGGGACTCTGGAGACGGAGGCCCAGGCAGCTGTGTGCAAAGGTGTCGGCCAAACCTGTGCCTGTCCCCATCCTTTCCCAGCCCAGCTACGTGCAGGCTCGCCCAGGCCCCTGCCCACCCGACACTTATCATTACGTGGGGCGGATGGATTTCTTTCAATGAAGTCTTGAAGCTTCATCTTCAAAGCACGATGATTTAAAATACATTACGAGGGGTTCCAGCCATTTCCTGAGGAGTGTTATTCTGCAAAGGTTATTCTTTTCAATGACCAAACTTCTATGTTCTTTAAATAGTTTCCAAATGTCAGAAGAATGCTCTGCACTTCGCTGACTCTCCGCAGCCATTGATACTCAACTTTCAAAGACAGGCTTCTGTTCTAAATAACACCGCACCGTTATGCACGGACACAGCCATTCTCATGCAACTATTCTGGACCTGCTCCTCTAGCCGGAGAATCCATTCACTAAAATGGAAGGTGACAGCCCTCAAAGGAGAGTCTTGAGGTTCCTGAGCTTTTCAAGAGGATGATGATGTCCTTGTCAGGCTGGTCCACAGCCTGCGCCCCTGAGGACCAAAGGCGATTTGGGCAAAAGCACTCAGCTTATTTCTCTTCAAAATGTGATGATTTGGGTTTCAGGACTAGGTAACCAGATCTGGGAGGGAAGATGGACTGACCCTTGGTGTGCTTTGAAGGGTCTTTGTGCTCTGCTCTCCTCCTGCATGACCCCAGGGTTCACAAGGTCCTGTGACATCCTGTCCAGAGCGAGGGAGAGGGCCCCAGCCCCACCGCAGGACTCTACACTGCCACTGCCCCCAGAGAACCCGACAAGACCTTCACTGCTTCAGGAACGAAATCTTCCACCTCCTGGCCACAGCGTCCCAGGGACCAGTCTGGGACGGTCAGGTGGGAGCCTGAGTTCCAGAAGCATGAGGCTCCATGGGAGCGCAGCTCGGACACGCAGCGCAGCCGAGAGCAGGTCCCGCCGGGGGCAGAGCAGCAGGGCACTGACTAATGCATGAGCAGGAACCAAGGAAGGAGCGAGCACCCACTCTGAGCTTTCTTAAAGACCTAGGACAATGCAGAGGCCACTTCTTACAGACACTTAAGGTGGACAGACTGGGGGTGGCCAATTCTGGGTACACCGTGGCCCTTTAGACGCCACGGGGCTCAGGGCGCAGCACTAGGTGCCAGGGGCACCCAGAGCCCGCGAGGGGGCCACCCAGGCAGGGCTGGGCCAAGGACGGCACGGAAGACCTTCCCCGACACAAGTCCCCACCAATGAGAAGCTTGTAAGAGTCAGGAGGCGAGCAACACAGAAGTGTTATTTGGTTGAAAAACAAGGAAAACAATGTAAAGCGTCTACTTCTAGTTAAGAATGAGTTCTAACCTTTCAAAACACCATTACACAACCTAAACGTTAACTCACAGTGACTTCTGGGAGAAGCAGGGTGGCCTTCCTCACTTGCTTCATCACCCGACCCGCACGTTCCCGCCCACACTCTGGCTCCTGGGGTCTCTTTGCCTCCCCAACACCCCAGGACTGCAGCTGTCCCCCGCAACGGAGAGGGTCCACAACAGCCAGGGCGGGAAGGCTGGACACCCCCTTCCCTGCCCTCCTGCCAGAGGGCATCACGGAGAACAAGTGAGAGAGGGCAGTCCCTACAATTAACCCTGGCTTACTCATTCCCTCATCACTCTGACGGGCTCCCCGCTGCACCCAGCTGGACTTGCTGAGATTGCCCACTGTCCCCGTGCTGGGCAGCATCCTGTGCGGACGTGAAGGTGGGCGCTGGCCGGCCTTTGGGGCTGGATCTGGACTTCACGCCCGGGAGGGGCTGCCTGGCTCAAGGCCCCAGGTCTGCGTTCCCATTTACCTTCATTTGCCAACTAAATCCTGCCTCGCAAAGGGCGCTGGCTGCAGGGCAGTGCGAGTCCGAACCTTTTCAAGTCTGGCCAAAAATTTGCCCTGAATTAAGAGATTGCAGCCTATTTACAATACGAAATAAAATAACTCTAGGAGGGCTTGGTGGTGGTATGAATAAACGCCATTTATTCTCTTTCTGACGGGATAATTTTCAAAGCGGCGATTTCTGTAAAGACTCAGGAAGAAAACAATTTTGTTTCATTTCCATAACAGAATCCAGACCTCGAGCTTCACCCTCGATCTGTAATTACGCACACGCTGCCGCTGTGCCGTTTCAGCCGCCACGCTTTGTGGTCCACTCGGCCCTGTCCGGCCCCTCTGTGACCGGCTGCAGTGTTTCCCGGGCTGCGGGACCTCGAGGGCCAGCAGATGGCGGGGAGGAGGCGCGGCCTTGCCTTCAAATTGCAGGTCTCTCTTCTTGCCCCTCACCCCGCCCTCATCCAAGAGGAGGGGAGCCGAGGGGAGCGCCCTCTTTACTAATGAGAAGCTCTGGCTGTGGACACCTGACCTTCACTGCGCCGAGGGAGGAGCAGATGCCCAGACTGGAATGTCCTTCATAGCTCAGCCCACGCCAGGGTCAGGGAAAGCCTGAGTCCCCTTAAGCATCTACCTGACCAGATCTGCTTAAAAGCATCATCGCTCATAGAGGAGCAGCAAACACAAGCCTGCAAGAGGCTCTGCAAGCTGCACGTGGTCCACACACAGCATGCTCCATCCTGCACTCAGAGCTCTACGGGTGGGTGTGGGTCGGCAATTGGATGCAGGATCACAGACACCTACAAAGTGATGGATTCACGACGTGGGTTGAGATGAGCTGACTCTTGCCCTGCAAGCTAGGAGAGACCAGCCTGCACACCAGGGTCTGCTTCCTGAAGTGAGCCGTGGGTGCCAGACGACCTTCCCCGAGGAAGGTGCCCGGGTCCAGCCATCAAAACGCTCCCAGGCTCCCAGGGCCTTTGAAGCCACACGTGTGAGCGGTGGGGCCGCCCTGCCCGGCAGACCCTGTTTATGGAAAACACCTGGCAGCAATTATCCACTCTGCAGAGAGCCAGGCAGCGATTTCTGCGACCACTGGGACCCCGAGAACAAACAGGACATTATTTACACATTAAAGAAATACTTACCCCGACACCACCACAGGGCAGCCTGACAAACACCGAAGTGAGTGAGCCTGCGGGGAGAAGGAGAGCCGAGGTCAGGAGGGCAAGGTCACACGGTGCCCGGCCTGGCGGAGCCCAGCGCGGGCTCTGCAAACACGGCGGTTCCCTCATGGCACGCTGGCTCTTGTGCAGTACGCACGACATGTCCACGTCTCACAGGTCAGTTGCCCTACGCGAGTAGCCTGCTGCAGGGGCGCCTATGGCGGGACACAGCCCTGCGAGACCCCTCATTCTCCATGGCAACAGCTACTCCTCACGGCTGGGGAGGCACCCATGGGCGGCTCCTGCTTCCAGCTGGAGCGCATGCAGCTGGTATGGAACAACCTGTGCTTCTGAGAGGCCGCATCTGGAGCAAGGGTCACTGTCAACAGACCTGACCTGGCTCCTCAGTGAGTGCCACTGGCGGCCCTCCTCTCCTATGTCCTGAGGCTCCGGCAGCCCTCCCCAGCTACAAAGGAGGCAGAGAGGCCCAGAATTCAACACCTGTGGTCAGCCCTTTAGACACAGAGGGATCTTTTGGGAATGTGCGGGCCCCATCCCATTTACAAACGTTCAAAGGTCACTGAGGTGGTGCACAGCTAAGAACCTGCACAGTGTTGAGGCTGGCCATCCAGGAAGGCCTGCTCAGTCCCATGGCACAGGAGCAGGCTCCCCCTCCCACAGGGCTCAGGCCTGTGCCCTGGAGACAAGGCAGGACTGTCTTCTTCAGGAGTGGCCACAAGAGCCTCCCCTGCTGCCTGGCTCTCGGGCGGGGCCCTGGCTGCTCCCCAGCTCCCTCCCGCCTGACTCCGGGGCCCCCAGACTTTTCCTGGCAGGTTCTTTCATCCAGTTCAGAACCCACTTTCTGGACCTGGCAGGGCTGTGCCACTGTGGGGAGGCCCCACTCCCACTGCCACCCACTGCCTGGTCCAGAACACTGGCTCCTGTCGGGATGCTCATGAATCCACACTCCTGGGGCCCCAGGAAGAAAACAGCCCTTGGGGTCACAGGGCCTGGCCTGACTCTTGTCTGGAAAGCTCAGCAGCAGGGGGCCTCGATGAGAACTGAGTTTCCTCGTGTGTCAATGAGAATACTACTTCCGCATCACAGAGTGCGTGGGGGGAGTGAGGGCGATGATGGCAAGAGCCCAGGAGAGCCGCTGGCACAGAGCAGCTCGGTAGCACCATTCACTTCTAAACCGAGGAGTGATGTGTCTCTGCGTAGGAGTCCCTGCCAGGCCCCTAGTGCAAGGCCCGGTGCACAGGAAGGCGGGTGCAGGGAGGGAGGGCAGCGGGTGACACCTTTAGCCCTGTGTGGAAGGTCCAGAGGCCCCGGGAAACTCCTTGAAAAGGTAAACAGTGTCCTCACATGGTTGAGAGAAACCAGCAGGCTGATGGTCTCGGGTCTGCTCGGATGCTGCAGGTGCCCCCTCTTCCAAACAAGCACCCTTCTTCAGGGGCGACCGCGAGTTTCACGGGGGTCTGTGCTGTGTCTCCACACTGGCCTGGGTATTCCCGAGGGTCTGTCTCTGCCCACCTCATCCTGGCTCCAGCCCCAACCACACCAGGCACTGAGCCTTAAGGGGCCGCATCAGGGACCAGGCTCTGGCCTCGCAGCTTCCTGCCACTCTCAGCTGGTCACCTCGCCTCCCACAGGTGCTCTCATGTGAGCTCACACTGAGGGCAACAGCACACACCACAGCCACGCCCTTCCCTGCCACCTCTGAGGTGCCTGAGCTTGTGGTCCCCAGGGTCTGCTTCTTCCTGCGCCCCACCCGCTCTGCTCCATGCCACATCTCACCGACCATCCACTGCCTGGATCCGTGGCTCCCGACCTTCATTCCCACTGCTGCATGTGGACACGGGGCACATTCTAACATCAGTTAAGCTGCTGCTCGATGGAGCCACATGGCCTCCAGCCCTTGTCCCTGAGAGGCTGGGCACGTCCACCTTGCTCTCCCTTGTGCCCCTACTGCCAGCCCACAGCCAGCAATGAGCAGATCTGCAAGTGGACAGTGTGCCGGCCAGCAGGGAAATGACATGCCAGGATGGCGGCTCCTGAGGGGCTTGGGAGGTGGGAGGTGCCTGTGGGAGGTGCTGGGGCCACGGCAGGGGAGCCGACAGGAGGGAGAGGACAAGCTGGTGGAGTGTGAGCAGAGCAAGGAGAGAGGGGTGTGGGCGCCAAGCCTCATATTGTTCTGTAACTGATTCACCTAATGGCCATTTCATCAACTGAATCACAGCGCACGTGCCACTCCCTGCTGGGCCCACCTTTCAGAAGTGGTAAATGGCCCTAGGTGACCACTGGGGCTAACAATGGCTTCGTGATGGCTCCTTCTCAGATCACTATCCCAACACACAGGAACACGACACTGGGGATTTAAAGAGCTTTCTACCAAATAATTCAAGAGCTAGTGTACATGAATTCATATACATCTGTGTGCGCGTGTAAATATGAGGGAAAGGGGGCTCTGCAAAGAGACTGGATTTCTATTTTTGATTATACCCAATAATGTCTACATTAAAACCACAAATCATCTGAGTAGTTTGAGTTTGCTCACTATCCAGCAAGCAAAGACCAAAACAATAAGAAAAGGGTGGGCGATCACGTGTTTAAGCACGGAAGCTGATGTTGGGTGGGCGGCAGGCACGTAGCTTGGAGGCTATTCCGGTCACCGAGGTCCTGAGGGGTCCAGGGCGGCTCCCAGGACAGCTGATCTCCTCCTGCCCCAGCACCTCGGCCCAAGGCCCTGCTCCAGGGTGTCCCATGTTGGCCTTCTGTGGTTTGGGGTCACCATCATTTAGGCCGGGCCACAAAACCTCCAGGCCGAGAGATGGGGGCCCATGAATGAAGGACCACCCTTGCTTCTCCAATCTCAGAGGGTCGGCTGACACGCAGGCTGGGGGCTGACGGGCGTGGGGAAGACCCTGGTTCCTCTTCTGTAGCTACTACTGCCCCTCACACTGCTGTGAGCAGAGGGGTCCTCTTGTGACCCTTGACCTGAGTATCACCAGGCACTCACGCGGTGCCCCCGCCCTCCTCAGCTACCAGACCAGGCCCCTTTCCAGGTCGCTGCCATCAGAAGACAAACCCCCAACTTCCAGGAATGTCCAGGGTGGGGATGAACCTGCCCCCTCAAGTGTCTGCTGCCCCCTCAGCCAGCCTGGCCCATCTGTGTGTCGCGGCTCTAACTACACAGGCCTTTCTGCATAGGGCTTAGAAATTTGTGGATTCGATTAAAAGAGGAAGGGAACTCACACAGTAGTGTTTAACCACCTAATTAGGGTTATGGTAACGACATCTAAGGTAATCACCAGCTATTACTCTGTCTGGAATACTCAGACTGACGGTAATGAAGCTTCTGGGTTAGGACAATCCTCAGAAATTTAAAAATAGACCTCAAGTGGGGAGAAGGTCACTGATTAGGTATCCTCACAGCAATGGGAACAGATTTTAAAACCCTAAGTTTAACAGAAAAGAAAAAGGAAATAGAATGATGCATAGTGTCATTGACGTAAATTAAACACTCACACTCTCTCACGATAATATACATTTCACAACAACATACGCGGCTAACAAAATGAACACTAAATGCACTCACATGGCTGCCACGGGGAGAGGAGTGAGGTATGAAGATGGAAAAATGTTTCGAGAAAGAAACCAGAGATGAGAGAGGGGGCTTCCAGGGACCAGCGATGTCGGCCTGAGCTGACAAGAGGGCGCGACGTGGCCCCACCACGGCCCATGAGGCAACTGAAGGTCCATCAATTGTTGGAAAGCTCCAGGCCCCCCGCACACCCACCGTTTACTGTTCCCTAAGGACTCCCGCACATCCAGTTTCTCTTTCATTTCTCCTCATCTGTCCTAAGCCTAGGTGGAAACCGGCCTAACAACCTAGTCCACCCTCTGGCCGAACTCAAGCCCACCTCTGATGTGGAAACAGTCCTCCAGATGACTTGAACCTTCCACCCTGTTGGATTTCACGAGTTTGGAAGACTGAAGTCTCACAGGGCTCTTGGTAGTGGGTTGACCACCAAGCGGCCCTTTAAAGAGGGACAGGAAGTGTTGGGGGAACCGGGAAGAGCCCTCACCGTTACACAGTGCGGGTAGCCGGTGGAGCTGCACATTGCTCAGGGGAGAGCCCACGCTTGATGCCTCTCGGTGACTGTGGGGACCACTCTCCATTTGGGGCCATCCAGCAAACTGCCAGCGGCTGCAGGAGTCAGAGGTTCCCGGATCTGTGCCCCGGCAGCACCAGGGACATCACGGGACACAGTCTCCTCTGCAGTGCTGGAGAAACCATTCTAGGCACCCAAGGCTCCTCCCTGGAACGAGTGACATTTCCTGGAGGATCCTGGAGCATCCCGGGGACTGGGTACTCTTATACTTTGTGTAAGCAGAGGACCAAAGTGCCTGTGAGGTCACAGCTCCCAGGACAAGATGCTGGAGGGAGTCTCGGGGTTACACTCTGGCGTCAGCTTTCCCGAGGTTCCGAGTGCATCTTGGGGAACAGGGCTCAGGACAGGACGAGTATCCTGCAGGGCTGTGGACCAGGCCCAGGAGGTGGCTGGGGGAGGGGGGTAAGCGACGCTGGGTATCCTTCTTAGCCCACCATGACCTACCTCTGCTGCTAGAGGGTGGGAGACCTGGGTGAGTGAAGTGCACCCCCAGATGATCCAGGCAGCAAGGCCTGGAGGGAGGAGCAGGAGCTACATTGCTAAGACAAGAGAAAGCCAGAGGAGACCCTGTGACAGGCCTCTGAGCATCCTGAGCCGGTCAGCATGGTGGCCCAGCAGCATCTGACTTCTTGGTACAGACAGCCCAAGAGGCAGGCTCTCAGCCACACTGTTCTGGATGTTTCTACATGGGGAACACAACCACCTCCTAGACTTGCCTTTGCCATCCTATAGGGGCTGGCCTCCGTGATTGCTGTGGCCTGAATGTTTGTGACCCTGCAAATTTTACCTGTGGGAATTCTTGTGCTCAATGTGATGGCATTAGGAATTGAGGCCGCTGGAGGTGATTAGGTCATGAGAGTGGAATTCTCAGGAATGGGATTAATGTCCTCACAAAGAGACCCCACAGAGCCCCCTTCCCTATTCCACCATGGAAAACACAGCGACAAGTCTGTGACCTGGAAGAGGTCCTTGCCCACCATCCTGGCACCCTGGCTTTGGCCTTCCAGCTTCCAGAACTGGGAGCCATAAATTTCTGCTGTTCATAGGCCCCCCAGTCTGTGGAATTTTGTTACAGCAGCTTGAACGGACAAGACAGGGGTGGACCTCCTGCCTGTGGCCCAGAGTGCCTCTCTCCTCTTCTTTTGCTTTGGTGGAGCATGTCCCCCAGCAGCCTGAGAGAGGGTGCGGGAAAGGCGACATTCCTGAGACCCCACATGTCTGAACGTGCCTTGATTTCACCGTTATGCTGGACCGATAGCCTGGCTGGGTAAAGACTTCAGGCTGGCGAGAATCTTCCCTCAGAGCTGGCAAGACCTTATGCTGCTACTGAGGAGCCTGAGGTCGTCCTGGTTCCCGAGCAGACCTGGCTGTCTCCGTGGCATCCGGCAGCATCTGCTCTTGTCCCCACCTTTCTGCGATTCCCCAATGACTCCCGGCGTGGGTGCTCACAGCCCACGGCTTGTCCTTCAGCTCTCGGACCTGCTCACGATTCCTCCCTGATGCTCACTTCCCTTTCTCTCCACTTTCTCCAGACATTCCTGCTCTGGGCCCCACGTGCCTGGCACACTCCATTCATTTGCTTATTCTTCCTCTCCCATTTCCAGCTCTTGTCACGTTTTTGCTGTGCTTTCCAGGGGACTGACTCAACTCACCAGCCAGCCTGAGGATTCTCCATTTCTCCAATCGTGTTTAATGTGACTTTCTCTGAATGTTCTGTCTTCTTCCTTTTCCAGTGCACCTGTTCATGCTACATGGATGTAACAGCTCCTCTCCTTAAGGGTAGTGATGATAGTTTTGGTTTTCTTTTATGAAATGAATGAAACCTCAACTAAATTAGAGTCGGGAAGTCCTGTCGGGGAAGCTCTCATGCATCGTCAATTACTCCAATCAGGAAGAGATTTTTGCTGGCATCTCCCCAGGAAGGCGTTCATTACTTTACTACTCAGCAGGAGGAAAGAAGATTTTTCTCCCCTTCCGGCAACAGCCCAGCCAATGAGAAATGGCCACACTCAGCCAATGAGAAGTGGCCACCACCCTGAACTGCTACTCGCCTCCAATGAACCTTAGTTCTAAGCAACCCCTCCCCACTCCCCCTTTTCCTGTATAAAGCAGTTCCCTTCCTTGATACTCTGGGTCTCCCTATGGTGCACCACAGCATGCACATCCCAAACTGCAATTCTTCTGGTTGTTCCTGAACGAACTTGTTTGTAGGTAAAACAACTGACTAATTTACTATTTTTTTTTGAGGAAGATTAGCCCTGAGCTAATATCTGCTGCCAATCCTCCTCTTTTTGCTGAGGAAGACTGGCCCTGAGCTAACATCTGTGCCCATCTTCCTCTACTTTATGCGTGGGACGCCTACCACAGCATGGCTTGCCAAGCAGTGTCATGTCCGCACCCGGGATCCGAGCTGGCAAACCCCAGGCCGCCAAAGAGCTAAGCTAAGCACCTTCCCAGGTGTGGCTAATCCTTGGTTGCCCCTCGAGAAGAAGAGGGAGCATCTAAGAGCTGCTGGAAGTTTCGGGTACATGGTGGGCTTAGGAATTGTGAGCTTCTCTGTGGGGGATCTTGGGGGGCTGTTGTCCGGGTGCCCGCGATGTCAGCTTCTTTTGGGCTGCTCATTCCTCAGGAGGGGGATCCTATCTCTGCCTGGGGGTACAGGTCAGCGTGCCAGGAGCAGGGAGGGGGGTGGGAGGGAGGCTGGTGCCATTGCCCTGCCCTGCGCCTGACGTCTGTCCCAGACCAGGGTCCCTGTGCCTTCTCTCTCCAGGGCTGTGAGGATGGGAAAACATAGGGACGCAGGCCTCCCAGACCCCGTTGGCACAGACCCCTGTCTGAGCTCCACCCCAGGTCTGGCGTCTCTGCAGTTGCCTTTCCTGAGCTGTCTGAGTTGGTGGCCTGAGTCAGGCGGTTTCTGTCCCCAGTGCTGGCTCAGGAGTCCGCTTTCTGACATCTGCTGTACAGCACTGCTGTCCACCTGCTCTCCAGCCTCTAGGTACTCCTGCTGCTGGAGCCTGTCCTGTCTCCCCAGGCGCCAGTGTTTATGTCTTTTAAAAGCCCTGTTACTACAGGGCAGTGGGGCGTCACCAGCCAGCCTGGGAGACAGCCGACATGGTTCCTCACAGCCCCACCAGCTCCGCGCTCTCTGAGGGCAGGAGCCACTTCATCCCCATCGGGGGGCTCAACCCCTTCAGGACGTCCAGCACAGAAGATGTGCTCCCTGAGTGAACGAGTGTGTGAATGAAGGAAGGCCACCCTGCAGCGGGACCCCGTGAGGTTCACGGCCGCCCAGCACAGGGCCTGGCACAGATCAGACCTTCCCAACGTCTCCAGAGAAAGGAGAGAAACAGCACAGAGACCACCCGTCTCCTCTGCCCTGCCGGTCACCACAGGGTCTGTGCCTCCCGGACCCCTTCTGCCCGTCTTGACTCAGGCTCGGGGGAGCCGTGGGGGCTTCTCTCCCCAGGGGGTGAAGGCAGAGATCGGGGAAGGAAACCACAGTTGGTGACTGTCCTGGTTCAAGGCGGCTGGGAAGCTGGGGGGGAATTCTACCCAGGCAGGCCCTGACTGGGGTGGGGTGCACGTGGAAGCCCGAGGGGCCCTGCGCGTCTGTCAGGACCTCCTGCCTCTGCGGAAGACCCCCTGTGGCCAGACTCTCACGACCTGCCAAGCAGGAGAGGCCTGTGAGGAAGTTCTTTCCCAGATCTCCCCTATAAAGCCCCTATTGTGGGGGCTGCCTGCCCGCCCGCCTGCCTCACCCCACAGAGAACACTCTCTAGGCCACCTCTTGCCTTTCCCCCAACGAGTCTTAAAGTGGAGCTCAACTGATCCAGGCCCACAGTCGGCCCGGGCTGGGCGGCACAGATCGGGAGCTCCAAGACCCCGATCTAAACTCTGTGACTGAAGATTCTGCAAAACCAGTGGCTCTCGGCCCCACCTGACATGAGGCAAGCACCCAGTGGCCTCGTGAGTGCTGAGGGTGAGAATTTCTCCGCGAGCCCTCACCTTAGAACCTGGCCCGGGCACCGCGGGGGAGGGCCATCCCTGCCCTGGATGGTACTTCCACGACCAGGCGCAGAGCAGCCTCAAGCGAGCACAGGGCTGGAAACACAACCTCGGGCGGTAAAGGTAAAGAAGGCCTTGAAATACCTAGAAGTTTCTTACTGTCCAGTTTCTGCCTGTTGAGGGGGTTTGTGCCGTAGAGCAGGGTGTGCGCCTCTGAATGCACCGTCTGCAGCTCCTCCAAGGTGGCCTTCCGTCCACGGATGCACTGTGGGGACACAACGCAGAGGATGCTCACCTCTCCCCCGTGGGCTCCCAGGAAAACCACGAGCCGAAAGGAAACTGAATTTTACATGTGTACAAGCACAAAATTATTTGCTTATTGCAAAATAAAAGCAAACATCATCCAATAGAACATTTTAAAAATGTTTTAAAAATATTTTAGAGGGTTTACACTTTAATTATAACTTTGAAAAACATTTAAAAAGATAATTCCAGCCTTCAATGCTTTAACCCCCACTGTCACCCAAATGATCTGGCATCAAATGATTACTTTGCTTTCCAACTGCTGGGGCCTGGTCTTAAAAGAGAGGGGAACTGCCAGGGCAAGGGAGCCCCTCACTTAGGTCTCATCTGGGGGAAGCTGGGACGCAAGTTTCCTGAGCATCGCTGAGTGGCAGGGAGAGTGACCTTCCGCACAGCAAGGGCGAGAGCCTGAAGCCTCGGATCGCTGTCTGCGGGTCCTCTGCATTTTCCTTCAGTTTGGAAATTCTTCAGATCAAGACTCCTGGGCTGTTTTCAGATTTTTCCCAGTAATTAACATAAAAGTTACTATGCTTTAGTTGAGCTACGTTTACTTAACCTTTTAAAAGGAGGGGGGTTTATGATGTGGGACTAAAGTGAGCATTTTACACTGTAGTGGCTTTCAGGTCAGCATAACACAGAAAGAAGTGACCTTGACCCTGCGGCCTTGAGGGTGGTGGTCCAGGGCATGCCCGGCTGACTGAGGCCAATGCCATGCTCCCGGGCACAGAGGCAGGCCAGGGGATGCTCTCACCCGTGAAACCTCCGGGGAGGACCTGCAACTGCTCACAATAGTATGACAGCTTCCCAAGAGACGCCTGCTGATGCAGGAGGCAAAGAGCAGAGGGGGCTGGACGCAAGCCCGCCGTGCCAGGTCCTTGATGGACAGAGAGGGTCACGGGCCAGCAGAAGAGCTCTCCCACCCCACGCCACACCCTTCACCACTGCTCCAAGCCAGCGCAGCAGCACAGGGAGGGGAGCCCAGCACACAGAGCTCGGGTGCTGACCGGGAGGCCTGGGCTCTGGGCTGGCTCTGGCCCCCGAGTGGTTGGGGACCTGGGAAGGCACAGCATTGCCAGTCCCTCTAACTTCTCCTTCATCCAGGCCCAATTCCTACAGCCCGTGTCCAGCGCCGGGGCAGTGGTGGCAGGGATGCCACATTCCCTTGGGCTGAGTGACCACGTGTTACCCTCTGAACTAGGAGGTGCACCCCCAGGTGAGCATCCCCACCCAAGTCGAGGGCTCCTGCTCTGCATCCCTGATGGCCGTGCTGCGTGGAAGCCCCATGTGTCACCCAGGTCTCTTCCCGACCGTCCTGCCAGCTCAGGTCTGAGCTCACTGCCCCACAGACCCTGCTCCTCACTGGCACTGGGGACCCCTGTGGCCAGTGACCCAGACATGGCCGGCAGACCGCCCTGCGGTGCCTAAGGAAGGCAGAGGGCGGCACGGTCTCTGTTCTTCTGGGGGTTTCCATTTTCTCCCTCCTGCCTGCTAGCTGAGGGACTTCCTCAGGCCTGAGTGGAGCCTCCTGGAGGGCGAGGGGGTAAGAGCCTGGTCACGGGGACTTCAGATGCCCCGAGCAGCCCCTTGGAGGAGCAGCGCCAGGGAGGCTGGGTCCTGCGGGGCGGGCGCAGGAGGAGGAATGGATGGTTCCTTGGAGCCCGTGGCCGGGGCGATGCTGCCCCCCAGTGGTGCAGCCTCCGGATCCTAGGCCAGGGCCACCCGTTCCACTCTACACTCCACCAGGCCTGGGTTGCTCTCCTCCCCAGATGGCACTTCATGCCAGGAATCGGGAACAGCCTCTGTGCCCTTCCCCCTCCAAAGATCACGTACCAGCATAAAACTCATAACGAAATGGGGGTCACGTGAAACAGACTGACTTAAATTCCTAACTGTTCCAGCTTCTACAGGAGGAACGGGCGGACGCAAGGACTGGGATTCTGGCCACATGTGCTCTCCTGGCGCTGGCCCAGGGGGCACCGGGGCTGTGACGGATGGATGCGGATGGTTTTGTCAACCGCAGGGCTCTAGCTTCCCAGGGCCACTCTGCAGAGCAGCACGTGCCTCCCACATCCTATCCCCAGTTCTGTGGGAGTCCTAGTGTGTGTGGGGACACAGCAGGTTCCCACTTGATAGACACATGGCCGACTGGGGGCCATCATCCTAGAGCTGCCAGCCCCACTCCCCAGACGCGGACAGAGGCGTCCCAGGGCCTGGAGCCCCCCTCTCCATGCTCGCACTGTCGGCAGGGCCTCCCCGACTCCTCATGATGGTCGCTCTCCACGGCAAAAAGCACGAGTGGGTCACTTCATGGAGACACTGCTCCCCCATCGGAAGGAGGAAGGAACCTCAGGAGCTTATTCAGTGGGGGCTTCCCGTCCTCGCAGGCCCTGGGGCCACTGCAGCCATGTGTGGGCATGTGAATTACTGTGCCTCCGACGCCCCAAGCAGGGGTGGGGGCTCAGCCCTCCTTGTCTGAGAGTGAGCCTAGCCACCACCACGGCCAGGCAGCAGAGAAAGCAGGAGAGCTGGAGACACAGGGTCGCCAGAACCTTCTCACTGGACTTAGAGTAGGCGGGGTAGAGATGCTGGGCCCGTGAATCCAGTTCTAACCAGACCAGACTCCATCCTCACACGCTCTGCTCCTGGGCAAGAACTTCGATTATGAGAAAGACCCTAAAGGCCTGAGGCTCTCCCCACACCCTCGGAGAAGCTCTTGGAAATATTAAAGTGAAAGAACATTCAACACAAAGCCAACAGGACAGACCTCTCCTGTGAACCTCCAGATCCTGCCAGGCGGCAGAGGCCTGAGGATGGCCTGGCTGTGCGACCAGGAAATGATCAGAAAGAAAGTAAGCGGGGGGCAGGGAGGAGTTCAGCAAGAGTGTGTGGATGGGAGGGTGTGCAGGACAGACGGGGACATGACAGAGGGTGCTGGAGGAGAGAGGGTGGGAGGAGAGGGGGTGTGGGAGGAGAGAGGGTGGGAGGAGAGGGGGTGTGGGAGGAGAGGGGGTGGGGGAGAGGGTGGGAGGAGAGGGGTGTGGGAGGAGAGGGAGTGCGGGAGGAGAGGGGGTGGGAGGAGATGGGAATGCTGAGGAGGAGAGGGGGTGGGAAGAGAGGGGGTGGGAAGAGAGGAATGCGGAGGAGAGGGGGGGGGAGGAAAGGGGGTGGGAAGAGAGGGGGGGGGGGGGGGGGGGGGGGGGGGGGGGGGGGGGGGGGGGGGGGGGGGGGGGGGGGGGGGGGGGGGGGGGGGTGGGGAGGAGAGAGGGGGGGAGGAGAGGGGTGTGGAGGAGAGGGGTGTGGAGGAGAGGGGGGGAGGAGAGGGAATGCGGAGAGAGGGGTGGGAAGAGAGGGGTGGGAAGAGGGGTGGAGAGGTGCGGGAGGAGAGGGGTGGGAGGAGAGGGGGTGCGGGAGGAGAGGGAGTGCGGGAGGAGAGGGGGTGGGAGGAGAGGGGTGTGGGAGGAGAGGGGTGGGAGGAGAGGGAGTGCGGAGGAGAGAGGGTGGGGGGAGGGGGGGGGGGGGGAGGAGGGGTGTGGGAGGAGAGGGAGTGTGGGAGGAGAGGGGGTGGGAGGAGAGGGTGCGGGAGGAGAGAGGGTGGGAGGAGAGGGGGTGGGAGGAGGGGGGTGCGGGAGGAGAGAGGGTGGGAGAACGGGGGTGTGGGAGGAGAGAGGGTGGAGGAGAGGGGGTGCGGGAGGAGAGGTTTGGGGAGAGAGAGGGTGGGAGGAGAGGGGGTGCGGGAGGAGGGAGGGTTTGGGAGGAGAGAGGGTGGGAGGAGAGGGGGTGTGGGAGGAGGGAGGGTTTGGGAGGAGAGAGGGTGGGAGGAGAGGGGGTGCGGGAGGAGGGAGGGTGCGGGACGAGGGAGGGGTGTAGGACAGAGGCAGGCCTTCCTACAGAGAATAGTTGAACTCTTAGGAGACAGCCTGGCTTCTTTGAGAAGCAGGCCTGTGCAGTGGCAGGTGCCCGACGTCACTGAGGAAACGCTCCCAGGCCCCTCTGGCTGCCACACCATCCACCCCTGATTCCTGCGGGCCTCAGAGGCCCCCTCCCTGCCACGCAAGGGCCAGCCTCACCTCACATTTGCCTCGGAGGCCGGTCTCCTGCAGCCGGGACCAGATGCTCTGGATCCTCCCGGCGTGCTCCGGGTGGCTGTTAGTGTTCCCGCAGGTGCACTGGTGCTTCAGCATCAGCGTGTCGTACACCAGGCCTGAAGCAGAGGGCAGAAGCGGGCCACCGTCAGAGGAGCTGTCAGGGTCCTTGGCAGCAGCCACCCACCACGCGAGGCCAAGCCCCTGCTCATGGCACCTGCCAAACAGTCTGAGCCACCAGCACCCTGGGTTGGGGCAGCCGAGTGGCCTGCATTGCCGGGAGCAGGTCAAGAAGAAAGGAATGAGAAGGCCCACTCCCGACTCAGATCTCTCGGCCATCAGGCATGTGGCATTTATGTCATGGAGGACTGCGCTGACTTCCAGAAACAAGAGTTTGGTCCAGAGATCCACGTCTGTCTGGTCAGGGACCGCCCTCTCCGTTAAGTGTTCTGGTGGACTGAGGACTGCCTGAGGTTCTGGGGGTTCAGAAGACACGAGACTCGGTTCCTGCCCTTAGAAACTTCCAGAGTAGCTGAGACAAGTGTGTGAGAGCACACACACCAACAGGCAAACACAAGTGCACTTAAAATGACATAGAAAGGACAGAACTAGAGTTCAGAAACTTGTGCCAACTGCCTAGGTTTGCACGGCCCATTCGGGACGCAGCCGAAAGCTGTAAGGCCTGGCGGTGCCCAGCATCCAGCCCGCCCGCAGGGAGGGAGCCCGACCAGCCTCGGAGCCAGCCTGCGCACCGCTGTGCGGGGAACCAGTGATGCTCCCACACCCATCACAGCGCCTGACGTCAGAGTCAGGAAGATGCCCCGAAGGCGGTTGTATCCCGTACATGAGGAGGGTGGAGAAAGCGGGGAGGGCAGGTGGGTGCCGAGCGCCCCCTGCAACAGCTTTCTCCAGGGTGTGCCCGTCCTACGCCCCTCCTGTTGGGGGAAGGGTCGGCCCCTTGGTGACATCTGCCAGGAGGGGTGCCCACGGTCCCTGCTGCAGCACTGTCTGTGTCATCTCACACACCTGGGCTCCCAGGGTCCTGACAACGGGAAGGCCGGGCTGGGTGAACGGAGGCCCTGGGCAGACAGGTCTCTGCTAAGGGGCACCTGTCGCTAACACCTGCTCACTCAGGCGGAGAGCTGGGAGAGCTGTGCCGTAGAGCACTGGCCGCACGGTCAGACAGACCCATGCTACTACTTCTGTGTGTTTCCTGCTGCAAAGAGGCAGCAGCATCACCAACCCCAGGGCAGCAGAGCTTCCAGATGAGCCTGTTTCCATAGGGTCCAACTGGAGACCTAGAGGTCCCAGACCTCCTCACTCAGTCTCTTGGGAGTTGGGCTAACAGGAGTCAGTCCCCTTGCATTGGGAGAATTCGATCGAGGTGTAGTAGCAAAACTGAGTGGTGGAGGTTGGCGGGTAGGTGAGACTTCTGGTAAAAAAACAGCAGGTTAGGAGCGGGCTCACAGGACCCAAACACAGAAACTCACAATCAGTGCACTAAGATGTGTGCACAAGATATGGATGTAAAAGAGGGTACATTTAGTGGCTTATAATGGCAATGCATGCCCATATATACAGGTATACACATGCACATACCCATGGATATGTGGAATGCATGTACACATGTGCATAAACAATCCAGATGACTATCAAGACAATGACTATGGCCGACCCATTCAACAGCATCATTGAGATAAAACAGTTTGCTCCTGTTTACTGGGCACACTGCTGGAATCTTCAAGGGGGACATCACTGTTATTCCCTTTGACAGACGGGAAACTGGAGCACAGAGTGATGGAGAGGTTGCCCGAGTACAGAGCTGAGGTGGACCAGCCAGGACGCCAGGCAGCTCCAAGAACAAGCCACATGGATGTGCATGGACGTGGGAGGCCAGCCAAGGAGAGGGCGGAGCAAGAAACAAATGTACACGGGCGCCAGAGAACCTGCCCTTGTCAAATAAACGGTGTCTGCGTCCATCTGTCCATCCGCTGTGCACAGAAATAACTCTGGGAGATTTAAATGAAACTCTCCTAGCAGCGGCCCCCCCCTGGGGAGTGGGACCCGGGGCAAGCACCACTTTCTCAGAGCTCCGCCCCGTGTTCTCACAGTGAGCACATTCTGTTCTGCACGTTTTGTGAAAAGGAATCATGATGACAAACTAAGAAAGCACATCTACGGGGGGCCTGCTGGCCCGCTCCTGTGACACACGTAGATGCGACGGCCCGCGTGCGCCTCTCCGTGCCCGTCCACATGGGAGCCCCCCACAGTGGCTGCGGGACTGGGGTCTCTGCTCTCCGGGCCGTGCTCTTCTCATCTCAGCCAGGGGCCAGGCTGCCCTTTTGGCAGGGTCACCTGCTGACTCTGTTGGTGACTCTTTGTCATTTTCTTTCTGAAGAGCAACGATTTAAGTTCTAGATAAGTACCACCGAATTTTTCTCTGAACGTGAGCAGTACCCTTCTAGGACCCAACGAAGAGGACTCAGCCACATTTAGGTCTTACGGCACGCAGAAGAAGACGTTGCATGAGGACGGTCTGAAGAAGGATGAAAGCATTCTGTGTTTAGGTAACCTTTTCTTGTGTCAGTGAAAGGAAACGTGCGATGAGAGCATGTGAACTGCCCTCCCAACCAGGCTGGGTGGCAATACTGTGGCACTCGGGCAGTTCCAGGCCTGGGAGCCCAGAGCCTCAGAGCAGGTGGATGGACACCTGCCCGCCCGCCGAGTGCCCACTGTTGACTGCGGAGCGGCGCCTTCAGCCAGGACAGGCTTCCTGCTGCAGACCTCTCCCGGCCCCCGTGCAGACTGAGGAAGCATGGCTGCTGGCAACAGCCTGCGGACAAGGACAAACAGCTCTAGAAAGCCAGAGCGTGGGGGCTGGCTGAGCTCTGTGCTCACAGGAGCAGGACGTGCAGTGTGGAAGTGACACCGTCAGCTACCTGGGCCTCACGGTCAAGGCCCTGGACGCAGGCTCGCTTCCAGGAGGGACTGGTGGGAAAGGGCTAGCTTGTCACCCTGCTGACCACCGACAGGAAGCCGCCTTTGGGGAGACTGCTCTGCAGAGGAGAAGGGGATTCTCCGGGAAGGGGAGGCGGGCTTTTGAGGCAGGACAGACCCCCAGGATCACAGAATGGGGGGCGAGAAGGGAGCCTCAGTGATGGATCCATCTGGTCCCCTCCTAGTCTATGCCCAGGAGTAGGGCCAGGGGTGAGGTCGCCAGGCCCTCCAGCCCTGGAAGTGGCCTGTCCTCAGCCCCATGCCTCACCCTCTGGAGAGCACAGGCCCCAAAGGGGCGCCCCACTTACTCCGCTCCAGCTGTGAACCACCTCTCACACATGGGCTCAGTCAGCAAGGCAGACGGGGCCACAACGGCCCTGCCCCACGAACCGCCCCATGGCCTCCCCTGGCCCGCCGGCCTGCCCTCTCCACGCACAGTACCTGTGGTGAACCTCGGCTTGGTGGGGGGCTCCTGCACAGACATGGGGAAGGTGGCAGACGCTGGAGACGACTGTGCCCGGGACAGAGGCCGGTGGCCGCCAAAGGACACGGGGATGCCAGCGGCCTCCATGGACGCCTGGTAGTTCCTCAGCTGGTGGATGCGCTGCTGCTCCAGGAGGAGGGCTTGCTGGTGGCAGAGGAAACAGCGTTTGTGCGCCTCACGGTACCCCCACGTCCCGGCGGCAGGGCGACGTGCTGTGCCCCTGTCATTCCTCCATCCCTCACTCCCCATCCACTTGCTCACCCACGTGCGGCACGCGGCGGGAGGCCGCCGGGCAGGCAGGGGGGGCAGGCTGCCCGCCGCTCGAGGGCCCCAGCCTGCAGGCCGCCTCCTCCCTCTGAGCTCAAGCCAGACACTTGAGGGAAAAGCCTGTCACAGGACAGAAGTGCTAACTCTTCCCTGGAGACCCTTCCCTTCTCCTGGTCTCTCGCCGCCCCATGTCCGCTCGAGGACAGGAAGGGCGCTGAAGCTAGGAAGGTCCCGCTCAGGTTCCAGGCGGGGCGCCGGGAGGGTGTGGGCGTCCCTCTGAGTGGGTGAAGACCCAGAAGGAGACTCCCCAGGACCCCGCTTTAGCCATCTTTGAGCAAGAACAGCTAGACGAAAAAGGCAGTGAGTTAATTCAACACATACTTTCATGAAAAATTGTTTTCACAGAAACTACGTTTCTTTGTGAAGAACCGGCTTCCATAAAAGCACAATTCTGCAAGGCCCTGAAGCAGGCGTCTCAGCACCCGAGGGCCCCGGGCGACGGGGCGGGCCTGACACCCTTGGGAGCGGGGGCTGCGTCCTCACCTCGCTGAGGTGGACAGCGCTAGTTCACCTTGTCTCCTCTCCTCGGACCCTGAGCCAGGGAGGAACACGCGCAAGAAGACTCCAGAAGGGCTGGAGAGGTGGGCGGGAGAGGGGCTTGACCTAGGGCCACGGCAGGGGCGGGTGCTGGGTCTGTGGAGCGGGGGACTCGGCCGGGGCCGGGCCTGGCAGCGAGGTAGACCCCGAGCTGAGTGCCCCCTGGGAGGCGGAGCGGGGCCGGAGGGAGAGAGGTGGAGCCGGGCCCACCAGCCCCACCCCGAGGAGCTGCCCTGCTGCCGGGAGCGGCAGGACCTCTTCCCCAGGCCTCCCTGAGAATGGGGGGCAGGCAGGCAACACCCTGCGGTGCGGGGGTGCCCCCACGCCTACGAACTCCACCACGAGGCGAGATTGCGTTTCCATGCACCAATCCTATCATTTGGAAGGCCAGGACCGACCTCCAGGCCCGAGATGAGAAGCAGGTACACCATGGGCTGTGGGGCAGGGCCCAGCCCGGGCTGTCACCAGAGGGGGAGCGAGCCCCTCTGCCCAGGCTCCCGAATTCCTGCTGCGAGGAAGCAGAGGTGGAGGGCCAGAGAAGGACAGCCCGAGATGCTGGGGGACCAGGACGGGAGGCCCAAAGCCACCTCCCTGCAGAAGGCCAGGAGCAGGCAGCTGCCCCACGGGGCCTCCCCGCCCTAGAGCCGGCTTCCCACCGCCAGTGCTGCTGGGGGAGCTCCCCGACTCCGACGGGCTCACAGGCCGCTTCACAGCCGCCCCAACCTGCCAGCACCTCTCCTGGAGGCACCCAGGCTACAGAACACCGGATACCAGACTTCTGTTATGTCGGCAAACTGCTCCATGTGCCACGTTCCCCTGAGAAGGAGCTCTGCTCGTTCCTCTCCAAAGAACACAGAAAATAAGTGTTCCTAATAACTGTTGCCGGCGTGGAGTACGACTAAATAAACGCTGACCACTTTATCCTCTACAGGGCGCTGGCCCTAAACCTTTACCTGAGCACCGGCCGATTTCACACCACTGCCTTCAGTTCTGATAAGAAGTGTGCGTCCCTCACAGACGTTCAAGGCTCTACCAGCCACACGGGAATGAAGCCCCCTCGGGCCCTAACGACTAGGATGGCCAGCCAGGCAGGAGCCTGCACGGCAGAAGCCGGTGACCCCTCTTGGAGTGACCTCTTGGTTCCCATGAAGCGTTGGGTCCGCGCACTTTGTGGAGCAGCGCGTCAGCGCCGGGGTGCTCGGAAAGAGGCCTGAGGAGCGGGAGAGAGGCCGGCAGCGGAAGGAGAGACAGAGAAAGCGCTACAAAGTCAGCGTGGAGGCTGTGGCCTGCTGCCGACCAGGGGTCTCGAGAGAAATCAAAGAGCCACTCCTGTGGGTCACACCGAGTCTGCCCAGGCGTTGCTGGGCGAGGCGGAGGGGCTGCTGCGGCTGCACAGCTGAGCTGTGGGAGCTGAGGGGGCGCCTGGCTGGGCAGCCAGCACAAAGTCTAGCGAGAAGGGAGCAGATGAGCCAGGGCCCTGCGCCCCAGATGCGGCCCCACTGCTGGAGGAGACGATCAGATCCCACTGCATGGGCACCTTGGGCTCTTGTGTCCTGCTTATCAGGAACAAGCAGCCGCCCTGGTGGTACTCGGGCTTTCTGACTCACTGGTCGGCTGTCCTCGTGTTTTGTTGACTTGGTAGTTTTATTTGTCACTATAAATTAATAAATCGTTCCTTGGATCTATTCATCAGTCTCCTGTGAGTTTGGTTATTCCATGTCAGTGCCTGGGAAACTTATGGCTCTGGGTACCTGCATCACACTGCTTTTCTGGGTCTGTAAGGCTCGTCAGCACTGTCTCCTTGGCCCCAAAAGGTCCTGCCTACCTTTCTGATCAATTGAAAAATCAGTCTCCCACCCCTGCCTTTAGTGATTATGCTGAATCCTAACAACACTTGGATTTACGTTATCTACAGCCTATAGACCCGAAAGAAAATCATCCCGAGGGGGCTTGGAGCAAGCATTTGGCTGGAAAGCAGGTGCATAAATGACCACAGTGGACAAATGGCCAGTGTCTCTAGTACAGCTAACGTAAACTAGACACCAAACCACACCTCCCTCCCACAGCACCCAGGGCGACGGCCGAGGACCTGGACAGGCAGGAGTGGAAGGAAGAGGCCCTCCAGTGTCCACTGACCCCCAGCCAGAGGGCACTGCTCCATGGGGGACGTGGCTGTCCCAGGACCCGGCCTGTCCTGTCCCCTCTCTCGTGCCCCTGCCCATGCGGTCACCTGTCTGAAGAGCAGCTCCTGCTCCGTAGGCTGGTGCTGGCCCGGCTCCGCCTCCCGCGGGGGCTCGGCCTCCTCATCGTCACTCTCGATGGGCTCCTGCTTCACCTGCACTCCGGTCAGTGCGTGCGCCTCCTTCTGCCCGGAGAGCCGGTCCCGGTAGGGCTCCTCCAGGAGGGCCTGGTGCTCGCGGAGCTCCTCCTCCGTCTCCTCAGGGTGGCTCTCGGGCTGCCGGGCCGGCTCGCTGGGCTTGGGGATAATCTGCAAAACAGAGGTCGTGGGTGATCCAGGGTGGCCGGGACTATCGGACGAACAGGCACATCACAAGCTCTGTACTGACACAGAGGGAGGGACGCCCCTGAGGGTGCCTCCTCGTGCTGAGCTAAGGCCACAAGGCATGGTCATTCACCCACGGAACGCCTAGGGAAGGAACACTGAGGCCCCAGCCCCAGGAGGAGACAGACTGGCATCTGGCACATTGAGTACCTCATGTGCCAGGCAAGACAAGTGCAACCAAAGTCTCGGGTATCAACCCGCGTCTGCACCCAGGCGCGAAGTGGAGAGGCCAACCCCACTCCTATGGCCACAGCCGCTGAGAGAAACACCGCCTGCCCCTCCTCCACCCGCCACCCCACTGGAAACCCACATCCCCAGTGTTTGCTGCTAAGTCCCAGGACACTGCGACGATCGCAGCCTCTCAGCACTGGAGGACAGGGGCTCTCTGCTCTCCTCCTCTGACCTGCTCACCGCTCTGTCAGGGCCTGCTGCTCGGCTCCCTCCCCTTCGGGCAGTCTTTTCCCTGAGGAAGCTTCCTCGTGCTGGCACCTCCCAAGCACAGGTGCTGAGCCCAGACCTCGCTCTTCCTTTCCAGACCTGCCACCTGACGGCTGCTAGACTTCTTGGCTCAACGTGGACGCCCACGGGCACCGCACACACGGCCCAACGCTGAACTCAGGGAGGCTTAAATCTCTTCTTTCTCTCGGACTCTTTCTCAGCAAATGGAACCCTCTCCAGCCAGCTGCGAAGTCACAAACTTGAGCATCTCACTGACCCCTCCCTCTGTGGTGCCCGTCTGACACTGCCCAGGTGCCATTCATCTGAGACGTCTCTGGAGTCGCCGATCCTCCCCATCCGCACTCTCCTGCTCCCTTCCTGCATCAGGCAATGGCGTCTCCTGCCTCGATTACAGCCACGGCCTTCCGGGAGGCCCCTCTCCAGTGTGTCTCCACGTGGCAGTGACAGTGAGCTTTCGAACGTGCCACCTCATGGTGCGCTCTCCTTCTTAAAGCCCCTTAAATGCCTCCCCGCCGTCCGCTGTGAGCTCCTCCACCATCTCCCTCTGCCACTTGCCACTCTATGCTCCAGCCACACCACAGCTGTCCGCGGGTCCCTGCCCCACGTGCTCCCTCCTCCTGGTCCTCCACAGCTGCAGGTCCTCCTGATGGGCTCCCCACGGCTTCCCTCCCTCCCCGGCCCTCTCCACTGGGCTCCCTCCTGACACCCCTTAGGCCTCCAGGTGTTCTCTGCCCTCCACGTGAGGGTGAGTGACCTCCTGCGTGCTCCACATCCCTCCACGCCTCCCCAGCACCCCAACTCTAAGGGTCTCTCTTAACACATGATCTGTTTGCCACGGGAAACGAGTTGATGGGCAGAGTGCCTGGCCTTGTCTCTGAGAACGCAAGGGGCGCTCTGAAGCCCCTCGTGGAGGTCTTCGTGAGAGAACCGCCCTGGTGCAGAGAACGAACCTTTCCAGCACACTCTGATTCTGTTTCTGGAAGGAAACAGATTTTCAAGGCAGCCCAGCGTTTTTCACACCTGAGCTTCAGTATTTTCAAAAGTCTGCGCAGAGCCGCCTGCGTTCTCGCCCACGCCGTGGCGGGGAGCAGTTTGCCCATGGGGGACGGACTCGCGGGCACTCTGTGTGAGCGCAGAGTCCTAGCAGCCTGGTACCGGGGGCCAGCTGGACAGCAGGGCCCAGCCACGTGTGTGGACACGCACACAAGACGCAGCTCAGCCTGCACCCCGGAGGACCTGCCCTGCCTTGCTGTGAGAAACAGAGCTCAGACTGGACTGGGGATGCATTTTATATGCTCCTCCTTAATCAGCTTATAATAAACACTTCACGGTGAAGCCTGACTGTGAAAGCGAGCCGAGGAAACCACCAGCCACTTTCTTTATCTCCAACCCCACGGCGACTGCTCATCAGACAATTTCGACGCAGCACGGGGAACAGAGCAGAGCGCCGGCCGGGGCAGGCTTAGTACAGATTCCAGAAGGCAAGCCAGCAAGGCGAGAGAGCGCCAGGAAGACGGCATGCAGGCTAAAGACTTGATTCCAAATACATAACCTGCCAACCTTATATCCAGTTGCTTTAACAGAGTTCTCACACAGGTTTACTAAAAATAGTGTTTTAAAATCCTGACGGTTTTGAGATTTCTGATGGTCTCTTACATGTCAACCCCATCTTCTTCCTCCTGCACACCTGGAGCCCGCGAGGCCCACCGTGAGCTCCTGGCTGGACAAAGTCCACTCGGGCACCAGACTGTGACCCCGACTGGGAAGGGGCAGGGATGATGTCCCCCGCCAGCAGAGGGCGCTGGGCCTCTCCCGGCCTCCCGCATCCACGCTGGCCTCAAGAGGACCTCAGCACATGGCAGCACAAGCCTTGGCTTTAGGGCCGACGAGGTCACAAACTCTCCCCGTTCCTTTGTCACACACGGCCTGGTGGGGTCTGACAGGTAACAGGATGGGGTTTATTGAGTGGCTGATGGGAGGTTTACCGGGCGAGTGAGTGGGGGCCTGAGAAGGTGGCTGGCTGTCACACCTGGTGAGTGGATGTCAGAGCAGAGGGGTGGGCAGGGGTCCACAAGGAGGGAACAATGGCAGCCAGGATGGATATGGGAGTGGCAGTGGGGACAGAGACACATGGTGTGCCGGAGGGCAAGGGTGCAAAAGAATTGGCAACAGGGCTGAGGACACAGTGACGGGGGTCAGGACTGCAGGCACGAGAGGCTATGTTTTCTCAGATGCTCCTGCCTGCGCTGCAGAAAGATCCTGAAAGGTCTGACTGAGAATGGGGCGGGGCGGGGCTGGGGAGTCCGTGCAGGGAAGTGACACTGTGGGGGCTCAGCCAGGCTCGGGGGGAAGGCCAGCAGAGGGGCTGGGTCCAGGCGCAGCGAGGGAGGGCCAGGCAGTAGTGTTGGCTCCCAGTGGCCGTGGAGAGTGAGCAGGGGGCCCTGGATACCGGGCCAGGGGCAAAGGACAGCTGCTGCTCAGAGGCAGGAGACTGGCCCGGGCACGGCAGGAAGGGCAGGGGAGGAGCCTGGCTCAGAGGCGGAAATTCAAGCGCCTGGCGGACCCGTGAGGAGACATCCCCTGAGAAGTGGGTCCAAGGGTGGCATTCAGGAGACAGGTCAGGGCTGGAGACGACTGTCAGGAAGCACTGAGCAGCTGGGAAGTTGAGGCACAGTAGCTCCCGCACAGCTCACGGAGCCAGTGCCGCAGAGAGAGAGGCAGGGAGCCACACAGACAGGGGACACCGGAGAAGGGCCAGAGAGCCAGAAGGAGCGCGAGCGTCTGCCAGGGGACGGGGCCACGGGGCACGCTGTCCTGGGGAGTGGACAAGGCACTTGCAGGCTTGGGGTCAGCTCTCGGACACTCATGAGGGGGCAGGCAGGCAACAGGCCACAACCTCAGGAGAGGGGAAAGCGTCTGCACCAGGTGGGGGCAGGTGTGGGGGCAGGAGTGGCGGGGCCACTGGAGGCTGACCCTGCAGGGAGGGGTCCTGGAGGCTGGGCCTGCTCCTGGGGGACCCAGGGCCATTCTGAGACCCTTTCGGGAGGCCCAGCTCCGAGGTGGTCAGTGTGTCTGAGGACACAGGGCCCTGGTCCGTTCTCGGGCTGGAGGCCCCAGGAGAAGTGACTGAGGAGGAGAGGGGCCAGCCAGGGTCCTCCAGGGCATCCCCAGAGGAAACGAGTTGTGACTATCGAGATGCTGATCACAGACGAGAAGAGGACAGCAGCCACGAGAAAGGGCACCTGTGGACAGGGACGCTCCAATCCCAGCTTTCCTCCAACACGCTCTTTTAAATTTCAGAACCTCAGAAAATGTCAAGTACAGCGTGCGGAACCCCATGTGTCCTTCACCTGGATAGAAACAGCAAGATGGACACACGACCCAGCCCAGGAACGGCGTGCATGCGCGTCTGGCCTTCTGCACGCAGCCATCCCCTGGGGAGCCCTGCTGATGAGTTCAGTGAGAATCCACTGCAGTGTACGTATTCAAGTTTCCTCAGCTGTTCCAGTAACATCGCTTATGGCCCTTCTTGTCTGATTTGGGTCCGGGTGCAGATCATACGCCCTATTTAGGTGACCCGTATAAGGCTGACATCACGGAAGTGTCCAACCAGCTACTCTGTATAACGCCCCGGATGTGGATGAGGATATGCCCTCAGGAGTGGCCCAGGGAGGAGTGTGGGGCAGGGCACTGGTGGGTACTGCTGCGCCTCTTGGGGACCTCGGGTGGGGACGAGCGTCCCGTCATGGGGGTGTTGGTTCCTCGGTGGCTGAGCTAGTGTGGACGGGTTTCTCTGTGGGGAAGGTGCTGGGTGCCCGCTGACATCAGGACGCACCTGTGGGCTGCCTTCTACTTCTTTCCATGAATGATGCTGGGAGGGTTGAAGGGCTGAATGTGTGAAAGTCTCAGAAGTTTCCAGGAACCTCCTGTGGCCCTCTCTCTCGTGTGACCCGGCTCTCCGCTCCAGGTCGGCCTGGGCTGGGAGTGTGGCGTCCCCTCCCTTCCTCCTTCAGCTTCACACTCTTAGGGAGCCTCCTGAGGTCATGACCTCGTGTATGTAGCGTGTCCTGGCAGGGGCACGGCTGGGCGCTGCAGCCCTGGGACGGTGGTTGGGTGGGAGCTCCGGGACATCAGAGGGGGAGGAGGGGGGAGCTGGAAGATGGCAAAGGCCCAGTGGCAGCTCTGCCCAGGAGGCCAACTATGGTCAGAGGGACACAGCAGAGTGGAGCATGGAATGGCCTGCTCACGGGCGGAATGTCCCTGGGCTCCCTCTCCCACTTTCTTCTTGGCTTCCTCGGAGAATGAAGGCATCTGAGTAGAGGCCTCCAGTCCCTCCAGAGGAGTCAGGACACTGGGCTTCCACGAGAGACAGCCTGGCTCTGGGCAAGGAGTCTATGCTGACCCCGTTGGAAGGAGCTCTGGGCGGGGCAGGGACACCCAAGCTGCCGCCAGCTCCCTGGAGGGCACGTCCCATCTGGAGGCACAGAGACGCTCCCCAGGGGTGGCCACAGCCCCTCAGGCCTCAGAGGGTGCCTGGGAGGGATGTCACCATGACAGCGGTGGGTGGCTGGTGTCAGTGGCCTCCCTGTGATGCAGAGCAGGCTCGGTCACATGGCTGCCAGGGTCTCAGCTCAGCAGGGACGTGGTGCTCGTGGAGCCAGGCCCCTTGGTCTCCCTCTGCCTTGGAGATGCAGCTCTGCTCTCTACCAGCCGGGCTGAGGGCCGGGCCACCCAGCAGAGCTGGCCTGGAGGTGAGGCTCCCACAGACAGACGTGATGGGGGGGATGTTGGCAGTGAAACAGGGAACTAGACAAGTGGGTCCGCTCTTTGTCTTCCAATGGCCTTCTGGACCTGGAGCCCCCTTTAGCAATTATACAAGAATGAATGCAGCTCCATATGTGGAACAATAAATTTTCTAAAAGCCAGGCTGGCGTTCAGGGCCAAAACCAAACTGGTAACCATGCCAATATTTAAAGATTATTAGACGTGCTTGTAATTAGACCACCCAAATAAATGAGTCCACGTTTTCCTCCTCAAAATCAAGAATGTCGAGTTAAAGGGAGACACGCCCCCCTCCAAGGGATGCATCAATGCTCGACACTGTAGGTCCAGCTGTCGTGTGATTCAGGGACCCTGCAAGAACTGCCTTCCACAGCAAAGCCTCTTTGCTCCTGCGGGAGAGGGGCCTCAAATATTCTCTTTTAACAGAAAGAAAAAGCCATTTCCGCCTCCACACGTTTCCCACTTTACACAGACCAGACCACACTGAGGCCATGCCCAGGCATGCCCAGCAAAGAGGGGTGGCTTCAGTCGCAGAGCTTAAGCTCCACTCGCCCTTTGATGGCATGCATTCTCCAGAATGTTCCTTCACACAGCAAACTTTTATGAAACCCCACTGCATGCAAGGTGCTGGGCCCTGACGTGGAAGCTGATACACAGCTGCAGCGCCACGGTGATCACTCCCATCATGGGCCGGGGAGGTGAGCAGAGCCAGCTCCGGCCCGTCCTCTCCACCTCGCAGAGTTCCGTCAGCCAGATGGGGCAGTCTCTCGGCTGTGGGCCTCGGGGAAACCGCAGCGGCCACGGAGGGCTGCAGGGGCTGCAGGAACTGGGAATGGCCGATCTCTCACAGGGGAGCATCACGGAAGCAGCTGCACTCCACGGCAGAGGCTGGCCGGCAGCCGACCACGCAGGAGACAGCTGCGATCCCCAAGCACACAGGCGCAGGGCTGCAGGAGCGGGAGCTGCCAGGAGCCGGGCTCCAGGGCCATTAGGGAAGGTAGAGTCATCCTCCAGGATAAAGGGCAGCAGGATTGGTGCTAGACGGGCCTAGACACGATCGTCGCTCCCTGAGCATCCCAGGAGCACAGTGTATAAACATTTCAATCAACCGTCGTTCCCACCGGAAATTAATCACGCGACAGCATCCAGGGAGATTTCCCAGTTGCTAAATCATTCTGCTCGAGAATATACCACATGTGAATAGGTGTTTCCTATCTTCCCCAAACCTCCTACCCCATCACTCAGATAATGACATAAGACAATTAAGAAGCACAAGTTCGCATTAGGAAGACGAACGTGACGTGCCTTTGACACATGGGAGTGAACAGACATGGCAGCTCCTGTCTCGCCCCCAGTGAGTGAGTACCTTTCCCGTCCACAAGAGGGGCTGCGTCTTGCAGTCCCTCCCATCTCTGACACTGCCCTGTGCTGTCTGGCTAGGAGAGCCTGCGGGGCCCAGGGGGCTTGGGGTGACAGTGGTGAGCCTATTTCCTGGTGCCCAGGGGCAGCAGGGACCTGGGCTTGGCCTGCGCTGGGCATCTGGTCAGGGGCAGCGGGCCATTCAGGAGCAGGGTGCCAGGGGACCTGTCTCCTCAACCCTGTAAGGGGGAACACACTGGGGCGGATTTGGGCTACAGTGGCCGCCAGCTCCGAGGGATGCTGCTCGAGGCAGGTCCACTGTCCTGGAGTTCCATGCAGTCAAAGCCTGTGGACCACTGTGGGGGCTGGGCCAGTCTCAGCGGTGGAGCAGCCTCGGAAAGATGTGCTGTCATTGCAACAAGCAACATGCTGACAAAAACACAGCGGGCACCTGCCAGGGGTGGGCACCGTGCCAGGCACTCGGGTCCACCAGTGAACAACGCGAAGACCCCGTCCTTGTGGGCTGACAGTCCAGCAGGGGAACCAGACATGAACAGCAGACGTGAGGAGCGGGCACCTCACTGGCAGACAGAGGAGGGCAAGGGAAGAGGACAGGGCTGGGCAGCAGTTCTAATTGAGGGTTGGGGCCCATCAAGAGGTGACATTCGGGCCAAGACGTGAAGGAGCCGAGACCTGGGAGTGTGACAGTAGGAAGAGGCTCCTTCTCTAAAGATTAGTTGCCTGACCCAACACCCAGACTGGGCTGGGACCGGAGGGCTGGAGGGAAGGGAATCAGGCGAGCGTGAGGGGCTGCCGGTGCCACCAGTCAGGGCTGGCCACATGCAGCGTCCCACCCCGAGAGGGTGGGCTCCCCGCTCTCGATTCTGTCTCCACACTTGCCTGGGAATCTAGATACGAGATCCTTCCAGGCCTCCTCCATTTATGCCGAATCATCTCCCTCATCCCTAACCCTCTCCCCTCGACCCTTTCATTCCTCAGAGCCGGAGAGAAGAGCCCAACTGCGTCTGACTTGTGGGGACCGATGGCTGAGTCCACCTGCAGGAGGGGAGCCGCGGGGGAGCCTTCACAGCAGAGGCGCAGCGAGAAGCAAGTCTAGCCGTCCCCACGTCACCAGAGCTCTCAACGCTTCCTTCCGAATATCCCCAAAGCCGCCTTCGAGCATCTCGTCCTCTTACTGTGACAGCTTTATTGAGAAGTCACACACCGTAAAATTCACACTTTCAATAATAAAAACACTTGTATAATCCAGTAGTTTGTGGTGCACTTAGTTGTGCAACCATCACCATAATCTAATTTTAGAACATTTTCATCATCTCAAAAAGAAACGTGTCCATTGGCAGTCACTCCTCATGCTCCTTCCCTGAGCCCCGGGCAACCACCAGTCTACTTTCTGTCTGCAAGGATTTGCCTATGCTGGTCTTTTCATATAGATGCAATCACGTCATATGTGGGCTCCTTGTCTGGCTTTTTCATCCAGCACCATTTCAAGGTTTATCATTCCTTTATGGCTGAATAATACTCCACAGCGCGGATGTGCCACATTCTGTTTAACCGTCCCTCAGCTGACGGGCAGGGCGCTATTGGCACTGTCTGGATATCATGAACCATGCTGCTGTGAACATCCACGCACCAGCCATGTTCAAGGACGTGCACGTGTACATTCATGAACATGGAGCCATGTGTTCTCATTTCTCCTGGGCACGTATCTAGGTGTGACCTGCTGGTCACATGGTAACTCTGGGTTTAACCTTTTGAGGAGCTGCTGGACTATCTTCCTAAGTGGCTCACCTCATTCTCTGATATTAAAGATGCTTTATTTCAAATGTCACCGTGTTCCTACAGCAACACTGACCCTTCCCCACTACTTCCTGCTGAAATGGGCCTTGTGAGTGACTCGTAAGACTGTAGGTATGGAGACCTCTGTGGGCTGGGCTGGGCATCAAGGCCCTTCTGATGATGCTATTCTAATAGGTAGCCACACTGCAGCTGCCAAGTGACTGGGAAAATGTGCTTCTGGGGCTCCAGGCCACCGTAGGGTTGGGGACTTTCTGTCTCGAGTTTGCTTAAAGAAGACAGATGTCCTCAAGAAACTCAGGAAGAAAGTGTTGACTAAGTAGGACACACCACACAGTGACACACATGTGCGACAGGCACAGTGTGTGCCAGCCATACTTACGCTCGCTGACGGGGACGCAGGGCCTGACCCCACGCCGGTCACCCCCCTGCAGAGAGGAATTGCTTTGGAGTTCTAGATCCAGGTGACATTCTCAGTCCCGGCCACGCGTGCTGAAGCCCGTGTCCACTGGCCTTTCACGTCTCCTGGCCTCTCTCGAGGCCAGAAAGGGCCGCTGGACAGCGAGGCTGCAAAGATGCCGCCGGCCCGCGAGGGGCACGCCCCGCCAGCAGACCCACCTTGTTCATGTGCAGCTGCTGCTGCTGGAACTGCTGCTTGTGCTTCTCCAGGAACTGCTGATGCTGCTGCTGGATCACCAGGTGCTGCAGGGCCTGCGCGTTCTGGGGCAGTGGGGCCGACTGCGTGCGCCCCAGCGGGCGGTGCTGCCGCAGCTTGTGGATGGACGGGGACACCCGGTCCGCACCAACCAGAGACTGCGCGTGCAGGGGCAGTGCTCCCAGGCCTGAAAGATACCAGTCTGAAGATAATATGGAGGGAAAAACAGCAGAGGGGAAGAGGAAGAAGAGAGGAGGGGAGAGAGGGCTGTTGAGTAACAGATGGAGGCCACTGGGAACCGCAGCTGCCGGCCCGGGCGCCTCCTCCCTGAAGCCCACTGGGCTTGACTCTGGGCACATGCCAAATGCCCTGAGCTAGGGCTCCGGTAAACAGAGACCATCATTTGGAGGCAAATGTCTATTGACACCCATGTCAGTGCTGTAAATGGGTGTTCTGTGCCACAGGCTTCAGCGCAAGCTCGCCCTGCCCGAGAGCAACTCCTCAGAGAGGCCCAGGCCCTAGAAAGGTCTGTTTTGATCTGAACAGCACTGTGGGTGACAAGAGGGCCACACGCCTGCTGAGCAAGGAGGTGATGGTTCTGCTGGCCTCCAGAGTGTTCTGGAAGAACAGAGGTGGCTCTCCTGGAACTGTCACAGAAACTAAGGTTGAGGGGAAAAAAACAGTCCTTAGGGATCAAATCATTTTAAGGGTCTCTTAAAGTTTTGATTTTATACACAAAGAGGGCAGTAACACTTTCAAAACCCCTGGTGCATATGTCAAAATCTCTCTCTACAAATTCCTACAAAGGTTTTGCCCACGTACATGCCGCCAGCTGCACAGAACGGCCGCTTCGCCACCCCTGTGCTAGCCGGGGGGTTTAAGTTAGAGTCTGTGCTGACAGGAGGCGAGCTTCTGCTAATCTGCATGTGAATCTTGTTTTAATTTCAGCCTCTTCACGTGAACTCAGGAAGCTACACATTTTTCCTTCTGTGTGCTTTTCACTCACCTGTATGTTTTCTTTGGCAAACTGTTGGTTTAGGTAGTTGACCATTTTTCCACTGTTCTATGAGCAAGAGGGTCTAAGAGACCCCTTCCCCTGCTGCCTGAGTGTCTGCTCCCCTGCTAACCTGAGGTGGACACACTCTAAACAACGTTGCTCAGGCTGAAAATGACTCCAGGCTCAAGGGCGTCTGACAGGGAGAAACAGCAAATGAACTGGCCACACGGGCTCTCGGCTGCCCAGAGTGGACGACTTCCCGAACCGGGCACATCCTCACACCTGAGCAAGGTGGCCCTGTTGTCCTCGGCCCGAGGTGGCCCTGCTGACAAGCGGTGGCTCCTGCCCTCTCTGTCCTCCGGGACTCCAAAGCCAGTGGGGGGCTGTGTCATCAGGTTTAGCAGAGCCTAAGACCCCCGGTGGGCAGTGTACTCAGTGTTTTTCTTGTCCCTTCCTGGGGGCTATTTCTAAAGTAAAAATACTATTTTGTATACAAATAGAGCACACACACAGGAAAAGAAAGCTTCCACTCTAGTAAATTGGCCCTCACCACCTTCTCAAACTTCATCACCCAGAGTCCCTGCAACAACCATCGCTTTTCATTTGACTGCATTGCTTTCTGGGAAGGTAAGTTATCTTAAATTTTATTATCTGCTTGGTTACTAAATTAAAGCGAATAACTCGAAAGGTAGAATCATTCCCTCTCAATTTTCTAGAAAAGTTAAAAAGAAGATATCCTCGTAAAGAAGGTATTTCAGAATTCACCAACTGTTAACGTAGGAATTACAGGGGATTTAATATTTCATGGAGGAAATAAGGAATTGGGCCACACAAAGCTGCATTTATGGGGGTAAAGCTTATGCAGTTACCAAAAAGCTCCCTTCTCAGAAAACAAGATGATAAAATACATTCTCCTTAGTTCTTTTTTACGCCTCAGTGGAGACCCAAGAACGGAGGTCAAGTCAGGGATGAAGCCGCAGCGCCCGTGCTGGGTCGGCCAGGCCAGCCTTGCCTCACATCTGCACAGAGGCTTCTGGTTCTAGACGGAAAGGGTGACCCTGAGACTGGGCTTCCAGGTTCAACAGAGGATAAGGAACAAGGCGCTCGCACGGCCAGCTGGATGCACTCCGCTTTCTGCTGGTTGTCGGGGGCTCCCCCAGGGGCTCCTCCCCACCATCACAGGCTCCCAGCCGCTCCCATGAGCAGAGACACTCCTTCACCGGGTGGACCTCCCTGAGGACGCAGCAGACAGAGGACAGTCTCACTCTCAAGCCTGACTCCGTGAGTGCTCCCGTCTGACATGGGGCCGCCTGGTGTGGACGCCCTTCAGCTCGACCCTGTTCTCTTCCTGTCTCCCACCCTCAGCTTCTCTGGGCCTCATCCCACCCACCTCGAATTGCACCCTAGTGCCTGGGGCGTACAACTCTGGGGCCACCACACTGGGGGACAAATCCACTGCTCGGCACCACACAAAACTGGGTGTCCTGACCTTTGCGTAGCAACCCCATTAGCGGCCAGGTGGTTTCTGACTCGGAAGCTAAAGAAGCCAGATTGTTAACAAGGGTCTCTGATGACCCACTCTGTGCGGTTTCCGGTGAGTGCTGTAAAAGGCTTTCAAGCATAACACCACAGAACATTCAGATCGAATTCTGCCCTGGGTGACCCAAGGCTGTGCCTGAGCCAGCGAGGTCCAGGGACAGAGCCTGACTCTGCAGCGCGGCGGACTGGGGACTCTCTCTGGGCAGGGAGGCCTCCCTCGCTGGGCGCCGGGCTGGCTGCAAGGCTCCATCCCGAGGCTTCTGTTCTTCCCGCCCACGGCACCAGCAGGAGTCCCTCCAGGGCCCAGTGAACCGACAACACCCCAGCTCCGTGTGGGTGCCGAGAGAGGAGTCCCCGTGTTACACACTCTTGCTCCTCCCAGTTGGGAGGGGGCCGGGCCAGCTTCCCGGAGGTCCAGGGAGAACACGCATGACACACATGGTCCTTCTTAGGCGAGCACGCCGGCACTTACCCCGTCATCTGGGGTGTAAGGTGGCTAGCACTAAGTAGGGAGTTTGCAAACAGAGGCCCCACCTAGACACAGCACACCAGACATGGGGTTAAAGAGCTGAGGAGGATGAAAAGCCAGAAGGCTCAGTCCCGGAGCACTGGCCTCCGCATGGTGGGCTTCTGTCGACACAGATGAAGTCCAGCAAACGAGGGACTCCTGCTCCCCGCGTCCTTACAGATCCACCTGCTGTATTCCGTTGCCCTTCAGGCCACAGTTAAAGTTTTCAAAACCCTTCAAACGAGAACACACCAGGCACGAGTCAGCTCTAACTGTGTCTGCAATCCCGGCTGCACGTCAGCGTACCCCGGGCGCTCTGAGAAACCAGGGCAGCAGGGGCCCGCCCACCTGGACCCGTCAGCCTCTGCTGGAGCCTGGGTGCAGGAGGGCCTGGCCGGGGCTGAGAGCACAGCCCGGGGCCCAGGTGCACGGGCACCCCACAGTGAGTCGTGCTCCAGCCACTGCAGGGACTCGCTGTTTTCGGGCATGATCAGGACTAAAGGGGAGCCTGTAATCACTGCTCCAGAAGCCAGCAGCACCCCTGCGCCGAGTTGTGACAATGGGGCAGTGGCTGCCTGTCAGCTCCCCTCACCATGCTGGCGGCATATTCCGAGTGGCCAGAAGGCTAGAATGTTGGGTGACACAGCCCCACCACAGGTACAATACCCGCTTCCTCTACTTGGCCTTTCTGCCCCTCTCTGCCTGCGACTGCTGCCCGAGGTCTCAGCGACGATGCCCCTTCTGGGAAGCCTTCCCTGAGGCTCACCTGCTGCACGGCCCAGCCCTGCCTTCTCCTCCACACGCCCCAACTATAGAGCTCCCAGGGGCCCATCTCCCAGGGGCCTGGCGTATGGGAGACGCTGGCCAAAAGTTCTGTTCGCTGGCCAAAAGCAGTTTCTGCCTCGCCTTGCAATGGTCTCCCGACCTCCTTTGCTAGGTCCTCGGAGGCAGTCTCGGGGACTGTATCAGGAAACTGCTATCTTCAGAAGATCGGAGCAAACAACTACTGTCTCTTGGCCCCTTACCTGGGCAGCTAGTCCAGAGAACACGCGTGCCACACTGAGGCGGGGCATCGCATGCACCTGGGGGAGAGGGACGCAGCGTCCGAGACCCCGCACCTGCGCTCCCCCTGCACCTGGGCCAGACGCTCCTCCCACAGGGCCTCTCTCTCTGAGGCAACTGTGAAATGGAGTTGTTGTAGCTCTGACATTCTGTCCATCCATCCTCCGTGACATGACTATCAGCAACAAGGGAGGTCTGCCGGCCGACCCCTTGTGGAAACGCAGACAAACGGACACAAGCAAACCCGTGGGGATTCTTCCTGTTCCTGCTCAGACACGAGCCCCTCAGAACCTGGCTTTCACTTGGCTCGATCCCACAGATATTTACTGCGGACCTACTCTGCATTAAACACCGCGTGGGTGCGGGGGGAGGAAGGGGATGGCAAAGTCCAGAGTGTGTCCTTCAGGAGGGAGGGAGTCAGGCGGGAGGGACAGAAGCTGCGCCGAGGCAGAGGGTACCATTGCGGCCAGGGCACAGGAGGGGGCCACACCTGCTGGGAGGCGGGCCTGGGGGGAGAAGGGCTCTCAGGGCAGGGCAGCGGCTTCCGGAAGCCACGTCCAGCGGCCCAGTCAGGGAGAAGGGAACCAGCACATGTGGGTGCTGCTCAGGGAGGCGAGGGAGAGGCCCAGAGCAGAGCTGCTCCACGGAAAGAGATGGGATGTCACTCCAGGCCAGGGCTGTCCCGCGGAACTTTCTGCGCTGATGGAAATGCTCCAGGTTCCTACAGTTGGTAGCCAGTAGCCACACGAGCGTTTGCTACACCGCCATGTGACTGAGAAACCGAATTTCACTTTGCTTTTAACTTCCCATTTAAAAGTTAATGGCCACATGTGGCTGGCGCTCCAGCACTGGGGGGCTGCCCAGGCCTTGAGAGGCGGGGGGGATGGTGGACAGGTGCAGAGGCAGGGGCCCGGCCAGGAGGCGTCTTCCCACAGGGTGCAGGGGGAGCCCGAGAGACCACCAGAGGCAGGGCCCTGCTCACAGGGAGGGCACGGGGGAGGGCCCCCGAGACCCTAGGAAGGACAGACAGGGTCCAGCTGGGGGAAGTGAGGGAGAGAGTGCGGTTGAAGAATAAAAATGACAAAACCAAAAGTAACTTCTACAACCATAAGAGCTAACATCTGAAGAGGGCTCAGCTCTGTCGGGCGCCACCCTGCGCTAACACACACAACTCATCTAACCCTGGAAAACGCAACGAGGCAGACACTCCTACCATCCCCACTTTACAGAAAGGGAAACTGAGGCACAAAGAGAATGGGAGACTTACAAGGTCACAGAGCTGGGGAGGAAGGAGCCTGTGCTGTTGGCACTGTGCTGCATCTAGTCGGGGGTGCCTGGAGGGTGAGCCCGCAGCCGGGAGAGGCCGTGCAGCAGAGAGGGGGCCTGTGGATTGGGGGTGGGCAGGCAGGCAGCCCAGGCGAAGCAGCACAGGGCAGCACGGCAGCACAGAGGCGAGCACGCAGGGCAAGGAGGGCAGAGGCGGGATGGGGAGAGGCCAGGGGCCCTGATGCCAAAGGGCCTGAGAAATGGTACCCCAGTGAGTCCCAGGGCCAGCAGGCAAGCTGTTGGCAGCCGTCGTAACTAAACGGGCCACCAGACCACACGCAAAGGGCAGAAGAAGCCACCTCGTCAACCACGAGAGGAGGCAAGTTCCCAAGGTTACTGGAGAGGTGAGATTTATGGAACGCTGTCACTCAGGTCCTACAAGAGAAGGCAACTGTCCCAGAACCTGGGCCACGCGAGATTAAGGCCGCTATTTAATGGACAATACAGTGACTCAGAGAAGGGGACGAGAGCAGTGATAACAGACAGCTCCCTGATGAAGTGAAGTGAGCAGCGGTCCAGAATCACAGAGAGGGTCAGGCCTATCTGACGTTTTAAGAAATGATATAAGAACGAGATTCCTCCATGGCTCACACTCCCGATGTCTGATCTTGCGCGTCTGACAGACTTGGGTGCAATTTCAGACACAGCCCTCAGGATCCAGATGCTCACGACCCGGCCCCTGAGAGTCAGGGAGGTGCACCGTGGGGCTCCCGCTCCCCCAGGCACACCACGGACCTCTCAGCCCTGTAAAGGGCAGCGACGCTAATGCAAGCACATGGGGACACTGAGGACACACAGACACAAAGGTGTGCTGCTAGAAGATGGAGCTCGCCATCTACGCAGACACCCACGGGGGCAGGACAAGGCCCCGTGTGCCCAGACCCGCCCGGTGACTCTACAGAACAAGTGCTCGAGGGACAGGAAGGAGCACAAAGCCAGAAAACCACACCGAACCCACAGATCATACCCACCCTGTCACAGGCCGAGGCTCTGGGACCGCCCAGCACCTGCCTTGTCCACCACGTTAAACGTCCGAGTTTAAAAGATGCGCGGCCCCGAGGTGATTTCAGATTTTAATTCTGAACAAATAAACAGACTTCCAGGCAGCCAAACATGAAGCTGCGGATGGGGCACAGATGTGAGCTGCTGATGTCCAGGAGGCGCATCCTTGCTTCACAGCAAACCCCACACGCTCCCTCACTCCTTAGGTGACATCGTTATACCACTGCCACTGTGAAAATTTCATGACAAATTTCCTACTTTTTTCTAAATACAACCATCCCTTAGCCAGGGCACATTTTTAAAACTTTTTACTACTAATAGAAACTGACTATTTACCAGATTCACTTCTGTGCTTGCTTCACATGTTCAACTTGATCCAGATGGAAACGCAAGTCAGACGAGCCGTCAACCTGCTCTGGAGCGATGGAGCAGACGGCACAGCTGACAGCTGTTTTCATTCCCCTACCTGGCTTTGCAAGTGAGCCTGGGTCTACAAACCTTCCCCCGACACGAGAGGGCGGTGCACGGAAGCCCCGGGGGTGGCTGCCTGCCGGCCTCCTCTGAGCTGACGAGGCCCCCCACCCCCCGGAGCCGCGGCGGAGGCCCGACCGGCGCTCACCTGTGACGAGGGGCGTCTGTGCAGGCGGCTGCTCCAGTAAGACCATGTGCTGCAGGAGGGGGTTGTGAGCCGCCGCGCCGTCCCGCTCCAGGGGCGCTGTGCTCAGGTATGGTGTGAGGTGGGTGCCGGGAAAGAGGGAGATCCGCTGTTGGAGGGCTGGGAGAGCGAGTCGCTCAGCTTCCTGCTGGCCTGCTGCCCCCTGGAGAGGCACACGGGTGACGTCCACGGTTATGGCCTGCGACAGCCATCCCACGCCACACCGACCCGCGGATGCCTACTTACAGCGGAAGGGCCAGTGGCAGGAAGTCCCAGGGTGATGTTGGGCAAGGACGGTGATGTGTAGAGGGGAAGCGGAGCCACGGAGCCTTCCCGAGTCACAAGTCTGTGCGCCAAGCTGGTCTGGAGACAAAACACATGATGGCCATCACAGAGACTCTGCTACAGCCAAGCATGGGCGACACGTACCACGAGAAAGGGCAACAGAGAACACTCAGGGCAGGCCATGCCAAATTCTGATACCAGAGTACAGAAACACACGCACGAATCAGCAGACAGGCGAGCACGACACTTTAAATCTCGGCTTCACAATCCATCAAACTCCTGTTTGTTTCTATTTCAAACCGCTTATGCACCATAAAACTATCGGAGGAAAATCTAGGGTAATATATTTCAAAATATGTTCTTAGAGTTGGGACTGTCTTTCCAAACATAACATCAGAGGCAGAACCAAAAAGGAAAATATTGATTAAAAAAATCCCCTCACGAAAAGGCAAATAGTAATGACAACAATACTGGCAATGTATGGGACAGACAGTTAATACACAAAGAGCTCAGAGATCAAACAATTAAGGAGAAAAGTGCATGGCAAAGACAAATGACTGAAGAACCAATATTGAGGAATAATAAACATGTGAAAAAAATCCTCAGAATCATCAATATCTAAAAACATATTTAAAAACCTATCAAGTTGGGAAATATTTTTAAAAACTGCTAAGACCATCTTGGCCCAGAGAAACAGAAACCGCTGCTGGGTGGCTTATAAATTGGCACACTCTGTCTGCAGGATGATTTGGCAATAAATGTCAAAAGCCTTAAAAATTGATCTAACCTTTGATCCTCTAACTCCACTCTCAGAACGAACTCTCAGGAAATGATCCGGATGCACACGAAGGCTTGGCCACAGGGGTGCTCCCTGCAGCCATGTCCACAGAGGTGAGGAGCACTTACCCAACAGGAGGTCAGGAAAAGTCTGGTCGATTACTTAGAAACTTACTATGTGTTAAGTTAGACATACAGGCTGTGGAATCGCGCACTTCTTAAACAGCAGATTTAGATTACTCGAGCATAAGTCAAGAGTAAGGATTGTTAGGATAGAGAGACAGGGGCGGCAGGAGCAGTCCGCGAGGGGCTGGGTTACTGTGAAGCTTCACATCTGTTTGCTCCTAGAACAAACATTCTTGGCTAAGAAGGACACAGTTTTATTCACTCTATCCCCTGCACAGTAGACATTCAGTAAAAGTGTGTTAAATGAATGAGCAAATGATAAGGGAACAAATGAGCGATTCTGCACAATGAACATGTGGGGTTTGGCAGACAGAAATCTGCATGACAGAAAATAACATTAGTAATGAATACGTAACCGATTTTTCTAGTTCTTGTCATAGTGGACTACGTAACTAAGGAGGAGAAACACTTCGGGTGCTTTAAAATTTCACGTCCAAGGAGAAGACTTACGAGCTGAAGCCTATTCCAAGTTGTTGTGAACTTGGTAGGCTGTCTGTATGTAGCCCCTGCTACCAAACTGCCCCCCACTGTTGGACGGCGGGGTGATGACCACCTGGGGCGCGAGTGTGTGGACAGTCCTCACCTCGCAGAAGCCCCTAGTAGCTGTGTTTCATGGTGTCATATTTCAGTGCCATTTGGAAACACACACACCTGAGAAACCTCGTCCTCATGCTTTAAGGGCAAAACAGGATGGAACGGCCTTCTTCACTTGCAGGAACGTGACGTGTCTTGTCCTGGAGAAATTGCTCAGGCCATCTCTAGTGTGCTCACATTCAACTGTATAGTCATGATCAAAGGGCTCCTGTGAAAGCACTTTTCCTAGACCAAAAATTTTTCTGTCTAAAGTAGAAGAAATACCAACCAGCTATGCTTTAGAGAAAATGGCTGAGATTGCAGAAAAACCTGATTCTACCGTTTTATAATTATCCAGGAACAGAATCAGCAAACACTGTAATGTTTGCAAAGCTATAACTTCCTCTCTATAACCAAGGGCATTTTTTTATCTAATTTCTCTTTAGAAATAAAGCAGCCTTCTGAGATATCTGTACATTGTCCACATCTGTGGCATTGGCCGTCTCCATTTGCCCTGTGATGGGCTCGCCAGCCGCCTGTGTTCCGCAGGAAGTCCAGGCCGAGGTCAGAGCGCCTGCCGGACACACCTCCCTCCGAATCACCCTGGGCTTCTGAAGTGGACAAAGCACCTCCACCGAGGAGGAGCTGTCTGCGGGTCGGGGAGCCCTGCTTCCTCCATGTAGAGGAGGAGGGGCGTGGGGATGCTGAGCCTCCCTCGGTCCAGGGGCCTTCATGGTACAGTAGTGAAAGGAGGTGCGGAGCCAGGCCAGAGACTCTGCTCCTGCCGTGCTTCTCCACCCACACAAGGACCCCCCGCCGCCTCTGGACCAGAGAAGGAGAGGCCAGCTCTTGGCTTCATAAAGCACGGAAGTTCTCCAATTGTAGCAAAACTTGACATCCACCAAAGACATCCATGTGTGACCAAATTTTCAAAGACCATCCTGCCGACATCTGGTATAAAACAGGAACACCTCTACTTTGTACATTTCTTGTGAATCCTTTGACACCTTCTATAAATTTGCAGTAGCTTAACTTACATTAACACGTGATTTGTAAAAACTAACACATACTTTAAACTGGAACCATGCAGATCCACCCAAAGCAGGCATTCTACAATAGGAACCATTAGGTACGTAACTGCCCATATTAAATAAAAATCAGGATCCATGACTGCTATTGACAAGACGTAATTAGCACAAACATCTCGTTCCAGGAAGCAACTTCTAGGTGGAGTTCTAAAGCTAATTACAGGGAGATCTTCAGCTGTGACCTCGTCTTACAGAGAAGGATTGATAAAACTTTTAATGATCTAATAATTACTTAGACAGGTAGGTTGACAGGGCAGGTAGTAAAAGAAACAGATGTATGAAGGAAAAAGATGAGAAAATTGAGGTTAAGCAAACTAGAGGCAGCCATGCGAAATTCATCCGTGCAGTAATCTTGGTTTCTAAAAATCTGTTTATACATAAAGTGTCTGGAAATTTGAACTGAAAAAGCTAAGTACTTGTGCCTGTGTATCTCAACTCAGATTTGTCGACCCTCTGGAAGGGCAGGATTCACTTCTAAGCATTTAAGGAGGAAAGAAAATAACCCTATCTGATAATTACAGCCTCCTGTAAGTTGAGAGGAACTCAGAGGCACCTCCTACTCAGTAGGACTGTCCGTGGCATGAAGCAGACAGCACTTCTGGCTCACTTCACCGAGGACGTCAGTGCTGAGGTGGCTCCCCACGAGGCCACCCCAGCCCAGGGCCTCACTCTGCCAGCGTGGAATTCTCTGCTTCCCTGAGTCTACTGGTCAGCACCTGCCCCTCCCAGGTGGCCCAGGAAGCCATGCGGACACACGCCCTGGGGCTGGCCGCCTGGCCCTCGATTCCCAGGGCCTGACATGGAGCTGGCACGAGGTAGGAGCTCCAGAGACACTTGTGGGATCAATGGAAAGAGTCCAGTGAATAAGGAGTGAAATGAGCACATGGAGTGAAGGTCCTGAAACCCACTGCCTGGGAAGCCGCCCAATCCAGGTCTGGTCAAGGGCACAACCCACAGATATCCCAGGGGTCTCCACACGGCTCCTCTCCGCCCAACTCCCTCCTACATGCTCCTGCCCCTGCAGCCACCATGCGGCACGCTGGCTGCGTTTGAATCAACCTAACATAACACACTCTGAAAGAGGCCAGGGGAAAAGACCAGGTTGGGAGCTGTTCTCTGACACAGAACCCTCATATCTGGACCTCCTGTTTGCATTTAAATGAGAAGCAGTGACAAGTGGCAGGAAGGAAGACATAGTCCAAATGGTGTCCCTTCCAGGACGCCTCCCTCGTCAGTTCCCCTCACCCGGACCTGGGAAGGTCAAGACTGAAGGGCAGCTGCACCCTGCAGTCATGTCTAGCAACTCAGCTCGCTGACTCGGCCTCAGGGCCAGCGCAGGAAAACACAAACCAACAGGAGTGCTGGGCACTGACCTCGGCCGGGATGCTGGGGACGGCGGGCGCGATCCCGTTCTCCGTGCTCACGTTCCCGGAGCTGTTGTTGGGCGAGCTGGGTGCCGAGCCCGGGGCGCTGCTGCATGCCGAGTCTGCAGGGTAGAGAGACATTCGTGAGCCTCACTCGGCGTACAGGTCCCAGGCCAGGACACAGGACACGCTTACCTGGGCCTGAGCTGCACTGGCCTCCTGTGGATTTCTGCTTTCAGCTTGCTGACTGGCAGAAACAGCAGCAAGAAAGCACACGACCATAGTCCCCAAACAGGCACAGTGGACATGACCGCAGCCTCACAACAGGGACAAGGGGCTACCTCCCTACCTTCATTTATGGACTTCCCTGGGAGCTTTGCAAACCTACGGCTCGTGGGTGCCCCACTTGAGCCTTTTAAGCTGTGCACATTATCAATTTTATTCCTCTTTTGAATTTCAAGATGATCTTAAACACCAGAAAGATAAGCCCTTCAACACTTACTAATATTCTAACAACAAAAGACCAGGAAACACAGAAGCCAAATGACTCTGACCCGTGAAGGTCAAATTCACTGTGCTTACTGACAGAGGCACCCACGTTGGTGTTCACTTTGAACTGAATCCTCTCATCTTTCCTACATGATTATCAAACATCCGGGGAAAGTGCAGCCGGTGGCTTCTGTGACTGATCAGTGTCATCTACACCCGGAGACATTCTGTAAGGAACCGTAAAGGTGCCAGTGGCAACACCCTGCTCGTCGGAGGCCCTGCTCGCTCCAGGTTGACTTGACGGAGGAGAGGAGCATGCTGGACGCAGCTTTCCCCTCCGCTCCAAAGGCGCCACACTTGCTCTTTCACGCACACACACTTGGAGACCTCTGTGACACTCGATGTTCACATAAGGGCTTGTCTGGCTTTTATGTGTTCTGTTTGATTTAAAGGCATTTTCACAATAACACCACCTGGTAAGACCTTCCGAAGGAAACATGCCCTGACCTGCAGTCTACTCCTCTGAGTGACTACCATTCAGAACTCTGAACACTCAGACCCGACCCCATCTGCAATGGCACAGCGCACACGTCAGGAAGGACAGGCACGCTGGGACACCGGAGGGAGCCTGAGGGACATTTCCCCTAAGGAGAGCTCCCGAGGTGGATGTGCTGAGCCAGGCCACCTTTCAGAGCCAGGAGGGGGAATGGCCCCCGGGGTCTCCCAGCCCAGGAGCGCACGGGCACTCACTCACACCAACTGCAGTGTGGCCCAAACCCACTGCAGGCTGGTAACCACAGTGCTGCCTGGGGCTGCCTGGTGGGCCTGGCAGACTAAAAACTGGTTCCAGATACAACGTTGGGCGCCAGTGAGGAGGACGAGGGTGATGGTGGGGACAAGAGCAACAGTTCCACAGCTCCCAAGCCAGCAGGGCTGGTTCCAAGAGCTGTGCTTCTGTCAGCTCCCTCGTCTCTCAGTAACCCTGAGGAAGGCGCAGAAGAGGAAACCGAGGCAAAGAGAGACGATGCCACACCCTCAGCTCACATGGCTGAAGGAAGATGTCAGGACAAATGCACGCACCAGTTAACCCAGTGGATGCATCTTCCAGTCTTCTGGAAGGTCAGTTCTGCTCCCCTGCTCCAGCCACCTGGGGCTCTGTGTTGGCCAGGAAACCCATCACCTCTCATCTATCTGCCGTCGAGCTCTCTCGGGCCCAGTGGAGCTCTCACCAATGGCCTCACCCCTGGGTGCCTTACTCTCTGTAACACAACCCAGCATTGTCAGGTGTGGCATGCGTGGTTTGCTAGCGTCCCACATGTGATGGGCGGTGGTCTGGTCTCTCAGGTTAGACGCTGAGCTTCTTGGAAGAGGACCTGGGCTCGCTAGTTTTATGCCCAGTGCACTCCTGACTCACAGCAGCACGAAGAGGTCACGGGCTAACGACAGGAACGCTAGATCCAGCGCTCAGAAACAAGCCTGCCGAAGATGCCGTCTCACCAGCTGTGTGGCCAGGACTCTGTGCAGGGCTCACCCGTCCATCAGAGGTGCAGCCCGTGACAAGGCTCTCCCCAAAGGAAACGAGGAAACGAGGCTGCACTCGTGTGGATTCCCCAACTGGAACGGAGTCCCCCCAGCTGAAGAGACTTAGTGGGACTTCAGATGACACTATGTCTTGATCTCCACTACAGCAACCAGAGGACAGACCCTACATTGAAAATGAAGATGGTGACATACAGGGTTCCCCAGGGCATGGGCCTGAGACTCTCTTGTGCATCTGGAAACATCCAGAAGCAGGCCCTTGGCTTAGGGTTCAGAGCTGGGCTTGAAGGACCCTGAGGGGCAGCAGGACAGGGCACGAGGCACCGGCCCGGCTGTGTGGTTTCCGGCAGTGGCCATGGTTCCCGTCTCATCCCGAAGGTCCTGGGACTGCATCAGAGTGTGTGTGAGGCACTGGCCTCGCACACATGGAGGACCAGCACCACGGAGCCCCTCGCTCCTTCCCTGGGAATGTGGCACTGACAGCCTACCAATGAGAACCCTGGTTTTCGAATCAAACTGTATTTTGTGCAAATGTGTTTCCTCCCCGCTTGCTTCCAGGCCCCCTCTGAACAGCCCCATTAGCCTGGTGCTATGACTTCAGGAGTGTGGAGGGGCGCCCTCGGGAAGTGGGGTGCACCCTCAAAACGGAGTGTGCTCTTGAGACAGGGTGCACCCTGAGGAAGAGGGGTATACCCTCGGAGTGGGGGTGTGTCTTGGGGCAGGGGTGCACCTTGAGGCGGGGTACACCTTGGGAAGTGAGGTGCATCCGCAGGAAGGCGGTATGCCCTTGGGAAGGGGGTGCCCCTCAGGACTGGGGTCCTTGGGAAGGGGCTTGGCCCAGAGGGCGTACTTCTGAGTATCGGCCACTAGATGGGGGCCGAGAGCAACGTGCTCGCCTAGACCGGAGACAAGTGAGCTGCCGCTCACTCGGCTCGGCCCACCTGTCGGACTCTGGCCAGGGAGACTTTAAGGCTCTCCAGCGGTTAAGACGTTGTTTAATGGGCAGTGGAGCAAGGCAGAAACATGTGACTCACCACTAATAGGCAAGATCAGTTCAAAACCCCACCTTCGGAGAAACCTCAACATAAAATTCCTGTAAACATCTCGTGCAACGTCAGACCGACGGCTCTGGCTGTGCCTGGGCCTGTCAACAGCAGCTTTTAGCATCTGACGCTGGGAGCAGAGACATGCTGTGCAGGGACGATCCTGGAGACCCCCTGCGGGGGCACCCACTGTGGTTCTCGGGGACGCATGCTGCTGGCACTGGGGGAATGAGAGCACCCGGAGCCGAGGGGCCCCACGGAGAGGCAGCTCCAGAGGCGTGAAGGAAAGATCGCAGCAGGAGGGCCTCGAGGGGAGGCAGCAGGTGGGCAGGCAGCGCGGTTCTAACAACTGGTCTAACGTACCTGTGACATCCAGGGGACGCTTTTTCAGAGCAGTAACCACTGGCCCGTCTTTCCTGCGTAACAGGGGGCTGCTCCGTCTCTCGGCCACTTTCTGCTTTAGCCTAGACCGTAACTTCAGATTGGGTTCAGAAGCTGCATGAAAAGGAGACGTCATTACAGCCAGGCAGACACAACTGGGGTCAAGGTTATCTCATCAGCAGCTTAAAAATAGCACAGTGGGTAAATATTCGCTTAACACTGACGTGCTGTTCCAGGGAAGAGCAAAGGCTGTGTTCCTGAGGCCTGAGTGCAGGATGTTATAGTCCCAAATAAGAATAAGACATACCTGATGCCTTTGGCTTCATCTCTCCGGACATGGGGTTATATCTATGTGTGCTGGTGGAGTCATTGCAATGACACTGTCACTGCGTTTTACCAGTAGTTGGGAAGAAAACTGACCACCAGCGGTGTGTCAGGTCCGGCCCATGGATCTTATTACAGCTTCTACACCACACGTTCTTGTTCACCTGCATCTCGAAAACTCCTTGCACTGGAACAGCCCAGGAGCAGCAGCCTGCTTGAGGTCCAGGTAGCCCCTGTGACCAGTGCCAGGAGGGTGCTGAGGCCAAGCTCGCCCCAAGGAGAGGATGCGCCACACCAGCTCCACAGGCCTGAGAGCGGGGAGTGCCTGTCTCCCCAGAGCCACCCGACCCCAGGGCACAGCTGTCCGCTGTGGTGTGGCTCTGTTAGCGCTCTGCTTGTGTGGACAGAGCCATTTGCAAACCTGCGACTTGAAGACCACAGTGGTGCCCAGGCCTCTGCACCTGGAACCAGGCCACCCCCAGGCCAATTAAGTCACACCTCTGGGGTGGGGGGACTGTGGGGAGCTTGGGGTACTCCGTGTGAGGCTGCCTCAGGAAGAGGGCTGTCTCACTGCCCCCGGGGACACCCTCCATCTGGATTCGCGGCACAGGAGCCTCCAGCTCCACGAGGCCGGGACGGTGGAATGACCGCCACCACAGAGATGGTCTACTCCTCCTACTTGTAGATTTGCAAGTAAGTGAGTTTTTAGCTCTTTTTTTTTGTTTTTAGTCACCAACCCTGCTGCTTTTAAACTTTCTGGAACAGGAAGTTCACTGTTCTCCAGAACAACAAGAAATAACAATCGAATTCCCCCCGCCGGCATCAGAGCTGAGATGGTTTGGGTTAAAAGAATCAGGCCATGCATGCATCTCACGACCACTGAGACTCTGCCCTCTGGGGAGCACGAAGAGCAGGACTGAGGAGTCCCGGATGCCCGGTGACCCCAGGAGAGGCTGGAGGGGAAGACCAGCTGCTCTGTGGGTCCAGGAAGGAAAGGCAGAAGCAGACCACCAAAACGAAGCTTCCCAGAGAGATCAAAGACGTGCCGTAAGAAGGTGCCCGACTTTTCAAGATGCTGGCCTGCTCTGGAGGGCGTGAATACAGGGAGAGCGGCCTTTCTGCTTGGCAGCAGTGGGCGGTAAAGCAAGGGCCCACTCACTTGTAGGACTTCCCGACGAGGTGAAAAGGATTCAACTACAAAACAGCCTTCCCCAGGGCCGAGAGGATCCACACCTATGTTTTTTAGCACTTATGTTGAGGTGACCACGGTAGACTCAAGTTTCATTCACTTCTATTTTCACATCAAGTTTCTAACTTATCATTATTTACAAAGAAAAAAAAGCCAAAAGCCCAGCTGGTCAGTGGGCAAGAACACAATACCTGTTCTCCCACCACCAGGATCCCAGCTGACACAGGGGGTGTCAACACACATACGTCCGACCTGGGGACAGAAGCTGTGGGCTGTGGGGAGAAGCTGCTTCTGAGGTCCAGGGCAGTGCAGTCCCCATGAGGGGAGTCAGTGGCCCCTGACCCCGTGGGAGGTCCCTTCTCGGTGGCTGCCCCGACATGGCGGAGCGGAGCCCGTGTAGCATCAGGAGATGGTGTGCGGGTGGAAGGTGCTGACTGGTCACCCTGGGCCAGCTATGGACTGGCTGTGCTACCAGGACCCAGCCCCGACCCCCTGCAGGTCCTCTCCCATTCAAAGCCCCTGGCTCAGCGACAGCACGGCCAGACCCTGGGCCTCGCTCGTCCTCCTATGTCCCCAGCCCGAGGACCAGGGACCCCTGGTGTGACTTACAGACTGCACCGGACGGGCCCTGTGCCCCTCTGCACCTGCCCCTCCCCCCAACCCTGCCCACCCACCTCCCACAGCCACTGCTGCTTGTCCTCAGCCTCAGCTCAACGTCCCTCCCCAGGCTTCCTGACACCCCACCCCACACGGCCACAGGACCTTACTGTCCTCAGGGCGCCGTTTCACTAGCTGAAACTATCTTGCTATCTTTTTCCTCCACTCCCTCCCACCCCCACACTTGAGCATGAGACGCTGCAGGGTATGTGCAGCCTCCCTGACTCCAGGGGACCTCAGCAGTGCCCTTCCTGTGGGGAAGACCCAAGGCAGGACTCCACCTTGTCCTGCGCTGGCTCCACCTGGTGGCCCCTCTAGCGGGCAAAGTGGAAACGAGAGGCCTGTGTCCCGGATGTGAAGAATTTCACTCAGGACAAGACAGCAGAGCATTAACCAGGGTGGGGGAGGGTGGCGGGGGAGTGGCGGCCCTGCCTGCAGGGCGGTTTGAGCAGCAGGAGGCTCCATGCTGCCACGGCCTGGGGATATGTGAAGCCAGGCCTGCATTTCCCTCTGGGGCTCTTCTATGGAATGTGCTGGGCAGGGCCGGGAGGGGGCTGGCAGCAGGCGTGGGGACCAGGAGGGCAGGGTGGCGGTCCCTCCCAGGGAGCCCCGGTCAGGGTCAGCCGGCGCTGAGCTGTGGCAGAGGGCGCGCTTCCCTCCCATCACTTCCGTCCCAAGAAGGCCCACTCTCTGGCTGCCGCAGGTCTGGGACCGAGAGACTGACATGAGTTATATGGACTCCACAGAGCATCTGGGCATCTAAAGTCTTGCCATTCATCAGCACGTTTCTCAAAACTTGCACAAAGCCTGTAACCCAAACAGCTCTGCGCCACAGCCAGAGCTCAGGATGCAGGCGTGCCGCCACCTGCCCAACGAGGGCAGGCTGCAAGATCGCATCCGCCACACACAGACCATGTGGCCACACAGGCTCCACAGAGCGGCTCCTGCTGTACCTGAGGTCCTCGAAAGGACGTGGCCAAGCAGAGTGACTCCAGAACCGTTCTGTACCTCTAACAGGGCTGCAGGTAAACTGACAGACTGGGGCGTCTCCGAAGAGGGGCTCAGGCGAGCAAGGGCTAACAGGAAAGGGGCAATGGTGGGCACTAACTGTCCATGAACACAGTGCCTGCCCCTCCTGGAGCACGTGGAGGCGGGGCTGGCTGTCTCTCCTTCAAGGCCATCAGGCTGATGACAGACGAAGGCAGACAAAGCCATCCTCTCTCAACCCTGCGATTCCACCCCGGCCCCGGCCCCTCTGTGTGCAGGAAGCTCCTCTGTCGAGAAGCAGCCCTCGCAGCGACCCCACTATCTGGACACTGATGTGACGAACGCTTCTGTTCTCCCTGACCGAGGCACAGCAGAACAGCGTCCAGGGTCAGGACGCTGTCTCTGGTTACGGTCAGGTGGGCAGAGGGATCAGAAGGCACTCGGCACACAAACAGAGGTGAGTTTATGTGGAAGCAGCACTGCTTCATGGGCCTGACTCCACGCCCAACAGCCAGCGAGGAAGGGAGAGACCGAGCCACCAGGAAGCTCAGAGTGTGGCTGCGGCCACAGGCACGTGGACAGCGCAGAGAGCACACGCTCACAGCTGCTCCCTCCTGAAATCCCAAAAGGACAGGGCAGGAAACTTTGAAGAGTATAAAGCCACGAGGCGGAAAATCAAAGCACTGAAGAGATTCGAAGAAAAAGTTGAGAAATTTGAAAAACAGTGAAAAAGTCCAACACCAAATTAACAGAAGCGCCAGAAGGGGACAGAATAAGCAGAGCAGGGAAATTTGCTCACAAAGTAATTCAAGACGTCCTGCTCCATCAGGGGAGACCTGGTGTGGAGCGGGCTCTCCGTGGCCCAGGGCACCTGAGGCCCCCAGCCCCTCGCTGGGCGGGTCCTGTAAGTTCCAGAACTCTGGGGACCCAGGGTCAGCCTTGAGAAGGGCGTCAAATTCTCAAACAGCCACTGAAAAAGGGATGAATGAATTGCCACAAACACTCATCCAGTGGACATTCAGGGACTCTCCCGGTGTGTCCAGATGGTTCTAGGTGCTGCGCCTAAGGGGCAGACAAGACAGACAGGCTCTGGCCAGGACCCTGTGCTGCACAGCTCGGGGGCAGCGGCCACACTGTGGGCCACAGGAACGGAATGCAGGAGCTCTGCCACACAGCCACCTGGTCCCTGCTGCATCTGGCTTACGTTCTGGTAAGGAAGATGGAAAACACACACAAAGATACCCAACCTTTACTAACGATGACAGAATTACTCATTAAAGCATCAAAGGGAGTGTGATTTACTCAGGCCTCAAATTGGCCAGCATGAACTGTGCTCGCCCCCTCTTAGTGAGGGGGATAACAGACTCTGATAAGCTGTTGTTGCAGTATAATTTGCTCAGCATGTTAGAAAATGTGTGCTCTTTGAACTGGCGGTTCCATTTTTAGGAAATCTATCCTACAGAATACTTGCACAAGTGAGCAAAGGTACCCATGTTTGTTGGCAAAATAAAAACTAGAAAACAGTTGCAACTCATCTAATATCCACATATTGGAATAATATAAAAAAGGAGCTGATCTTTATACACTGAAGTGGAATGGGGTCCACACTATAATATTAATTGGAAAATAAAGTTACAGGACAAAATGCAAAGCAGGTACTTTTGTTAACAAAAAGACAACTACACACACATGTTGCATACACACACAGATACACCCTGACACACAGGCACAGAGAAATATCTGGACAGACAGACACCAAACTAGCAACAGGAGCTGTCTCTGGGAAGTAAGATTCAGGATGTGTGGGTTTGAGTTTATTATAAGCACGCATCACTTATGTGTTTTTAATTTAAAAAAGCACTCTACATGATGGTTAGAAGTCAGGGGTTTTCTACTCTCTCTTTCCTGCTCAATTGAGCGACGTCTCCACAGCTCATTTCAGTTGGTCATCGATCCC